GCGGTGGTGACGGTAGTAGCTGCGGCGATGGTGGTTGTGATGACAGTGATAATGGTGGTGACGGTAGTAGCTGCGGCGATGGTGGTGGTGATGGCAGTGATAATGGTGGTGACAGTGATGGTAATGGTGGTGGTGGTGATGATGGTGGTGGCAGTGACAACAGTGAGTGCAGCGATGGTGGTGACGGTAGTAGCTGCGGCGATGGTGGTGGTGATGGCAGTGATAATGGTGGTGACGGTAGTAGCTGCGGCGATGGTGGTGGTGATGGCAGTGATAATGGTGGTGACGGTAGTAGCTGCGGCGATGGTGGTGGTGATGGCAGTGATAATGGTGGTGACGGTAGTAGCTGCGACGATGGTGGTGGTGATGGCAGTGATAATGGTGGTGACAGTGATGGTAATGGTGGTGGTGGTGATGATGATGGTGGCAGTGACAACAGTGAGTGCAGCGATGGTGGTGACGGTAGTAGCTACGGCGATGGTGGTGGTGATGGCAGTGATAATGGTGGTGACAGTGTGAGTGCAGCGATGATGGTGATAATAGTGGTGATGGTGACGACATGTGGGTGGTGGCGGTGGCGGTGGCAATGACGTGATAACAGTTGTGGTGGCAGCGATGGTGGTGATGACGACAGTGACTGAGAGGATGGTGGTGATGATGACATGGCGGTGGCGGTGGCAGTGGCATGATAGTGGTAGTGGTGGCGGCGATGGTAGTGACAGCAGTGTCTACGACAATGGTGATGGAGATGACATGATGGCGGCAGTAGTGATGGCAATGGCTACGATGATGGTAGTGGTAGAAGTTGGTGACAGTGGTAGTGATAATGGTGGTGGCAGTGGTGGTGATGGTAATGGTGGAGAGTAATTGAGAGAGATAAGTCTTTCTCATTTTGTGCACAGGAACAAAAAACAGAAAAAAATTTATTCTTTTTTCTTTTCCCCAGCACAAAAAAAATGATTTATCTCGGGAACAAAAAACTAAACTGATTTTACCAAATGAACTTTCTATCCATTTCTATTTCCGGGAGCAGAAATTAAAAAAAAAATTGATTATGGGAAGGTTCTCATGCACACCTTTAATTAACCAGAAGTCCAGAATCAATCTTTTCTTAATTAATGATAATAGGATTCTTTAATTTCAATATAATTCATTCTTTTAGTTTCATTATTTTTCCTTATTTTAATTTAATTTATTGTTCTGAGTTATATTACATTCCTTTTTCATATGTTTTTATATATATATATATATTCATATATTATTTTAATATTTCTATAGTGAATATAGATAAATTATCAACATTCATTCTCAAAATGATGTAATTTTAAGCTGAAAAATTAAAAAATTATAATGAGAAAGACTATTATGACACTGAAATAAATTATAATTACAAGAATATCTTGATTTTTGCCCTAAAATGATATCGTTTTGAGCTCAATGGAGATAAATTATCTACATTGAATGTAAAAAGTGAACCCTATATATATTATAATTGTGTTAACTTATATGATTGAGACACATATTTAGAAATAAAAAATGTTTATTATTCATCGCTACTTACTCCAAGAAGAAAATTTCAAATTTATAACGTTTTTAATATATCAAATGTTTTTATTTAGTAATATATATATATATATATATATGTGTGTGTGGGAAAAATATTTCTCAAGCAGCTTGAGATAAGTTTATCTCCGGCTACTACAAAACTACGTCGTTTTATTTATTTATTTTCTTATATTAATTGATTCACCTTTGAATGATTATGATTCCCTTTTTTTTTTCTTCCTTTATCACCATTGATCCATCTTTGTATGATTATGATTTAGTAGCCGGAGATAAGATTATCTCAAGCAGCTTGAGAAACGATAAGCCCTATATATACTTATATATATATATATATATATATGGGAAAAACACTTCTCATGTTGTGACACTTCAATTTGTATGCAATTTTTTTTATTTTATTTTTAATAAACGTGGGGCCCACTATTACTTGAGTTACAACATGAGAAAATCAAAACCCTATATATATATATATAGTTATGTTTATCTCGTTTTACATGGGTTGGGTCCCACAATTCTTTTTTCTCTTTCCTCTTACCTGTGGGTCTCACTTATAATTTTATTTCTACAACATGAGATAAGGATTTTCCTACAACATAAAAAAATTATTTCCTATATATATATATATATATATATAGGATTTATTATTTATTATGTCACTGGATGGTCAAGTCAATATTAAAATACGTCGTTTTATTTATTTATTTCCTTATATTTATTGATTTACCTTTGAATGGTTATGATTTTCTTTTTCTCTCTCTTCCTTTATCACCATTGATTCACTTTTATACGGTTATAATTTAGTGATTGGACAAAAGCTTATATTTAGTGACTTGACATTCATCAAACCCACACACACACACACACACACACATATATACAAGTGTCAAATTTCAAAAATTTGACACCTCATCTGATAGTTTTTAGATTAAAAAAGATCAACGACTCTGGTTTGTAAGCATCTGGAACCATTGATCTTTTTTGATCTAATGACTATCAGATGAGGTGTCAATTTTGAAATTTGACACTGGTGTCAAAAGATCCTACCTCATATATATGTGTGTATCATAGTTATCAGTATCGTATGATACACGATACAATATGATTCACAAGTCCAGTGATACGTATCGTTGGGTGTATCAGAAAGGGGTTTGTATCGAATGATACGATATTGTATCATACGATACGAAACGATACGTGTATCATACGACACAAAAATTTAATCAATTTTTTTTATTTTAATATGAAAAAAGATTTGATTTGTGATTTAAATTCAAAAATCAATCTGATAAATCCGTATTAATAAAGAAAATAATAAAGCCAACATGATAGATAAAAGTGACATCATCATACAAGAAGTCAAGAACAAGATAATGTCAGCAAGCTTGATAAACGAAATGATATTGCCAACAAGAATGACAAGAAAAAAGGACCTCAGAAGAAATAAGATATGAGTCAAATAATTACCCTAATGAAGAGGATGATGGATTATATGTCATTGATAGATGTTGATACTGATAGTAATGATAATATTAATCTTAATGATTGGTGAATAGGAAAATAATTGATTTGCATTTTAGTTACTTAGTATTTTGCTTATTGGATCCTTTTTGGAATTTGGATTTATATCATATCAATTATATTATATATTTTTAAAATTAATTTTTTATTATATTTCTGTATCTTATATTGATATGATTCTCCATACATGATACAAAAAATCAGTACATATTGCGATTCAACAATCTTGATATATATATATATATATATAATATATATATATATATATATATATATATATATATATATATATATATATATATATATAGGGTAAAGGATTTCTCCAGTCACCGGAGATAAAATTATCTCCAGTGAGCTCAAAATGACGTCGTTTTGGGGCAGAAATTAAAGTTTTTTTTGTAATTATAATATAGTGCAGGGTTATATTAGTCTTTATCATTATAATTTTTTAATCTTATAACTCCAAAATGATGTCGTTTTGAGTTCACAGAAGATAACCTTATCTCCGGTGACTGGAGAAATACTTTTCCCATATATATATATATATATATATATATATATATGTATAGTAAAAAGACATATAAGACACTATAAGTTATTATAATATACCAATAAAAATAAGGGGCAATATATACTTATCACCAAAAAAGTTTATCACCTTTACAACCAACCTAATCAGCGTTGTATTTCGTCAATCTGACGGTTATAATTTATTAGGAATTAATAATTATTAATAATGTGATAAAATATTTTCAATAAATTATAACCGTTAGATTGACGGAAATCAATGGTGATTAGATTAGTTATAAACTTTTTTAGTGGTAAGTATATCCTTTCCCAAAAAATATTATGAAATATTTATGATATATTAAAGAATTTTAAATTATTATTAACACAAAAGTAAATGATAAAATATAACAAGTAAGAAAATAATTTCAAATAAATTATATAAGATATGGTCATATTATAATAATTTTAAATTTTAATTAATAAAAAAAATGATCTTTGGTTTTGGTAAATTAAAAAAGTTTTGCTCCACACCAAAAAAAAAAAGTTTTGCTAAATTTTAAAGAAGTTTTAAATTTTAAATTTCAAATATTTTTTAGTATAAGATTAAGAAGTTTTGCTTCCTGTATCAACTGTTGATTTTCGTCTATGTAATAGTTATACTTTATTTAGAATTATTAATTAATTGATTGATGTAATTCAATAAATTATAACTGTTACATAGATAGAAATCAACGTCTGAGATACAAAGTAAGACAAAGTCTTATATCAAAATCAAATTCTTTCATATGAGATATTCTAAGTTATATTAAAATATAATTAAAAATTTTTGCTTACCAAAAAAAAAATAATTAAAACTTTTTAAGATATCTTTGTATATATATAGTAACAAATATCTTCGATTCCCGCTGAATGCATTATTGGGGAGGGGGCTGAACCTTTAGCCATCACTGTTCCCCCGCACTCCGGATTAGTCCCATAGCCGACTCAAAGAGTCGAAGCTCGTGGGGATACCGGAGGGAGCCAACTCGTCTCAAAGAGATAATTAGGGTTGGGTAACTCCAAAAAAAAAAAACAAATATCTATTGTAAAAGATGATGTTATCTCCACATAGGAAGAAGAAGAATAAATAATAGAGTATCTGCACCAAATTATTTGATTGTATTCTAATTTTTCTTCTTTTTAAAACTGTTTTGTATAATTATTAATGAAATAACTATTTTCTATAAATTTAATTTTAAAAATTAAAAAATAGTTATAATTTTCCAAATTTAACAAATCTTATCAAACATGTTTTTGTTTTTTTATTTTTTCTGAAAATAAAAAAACTGGCCCAAAGTTTTGCAATCGGAGGGTTAATTTCGGCATTTGACAAATCGAAACACACTCTTCGCCTTCTTCAAGGTAACCTATCCTTAACATCAAACCCTGTCTCCTCCTATGTCCCATCCCTCCCCTTCTTCAACCCAATCCTCAAATCTCTCAATCTCTTATCGAAACCCTAATTTCCCCTTTTTTTAACCCCATCTTTGATTTTTGACCAGTCTCGTAAAGTTTGAAACTTTTATGATTTCCCAGCTTTGCGTTTGAAATTCATTGTCCTTGTGAATCAGGGGCTTTGTCGATTGATCCGGTGCACGCGGGTCTATGGCGAACGGTACGGATTCGGAGCGGTTCGTGGTGCTTTCTGGGGTCCGGACGGGTCTCAAGAGAGAGTTTGCCTTCGCCATGAAGGCTCAGTCTGAGATCTGTGGCTCTCTCGGTCGAACCCGGTCCGGCAAGAACCGGAATGTGGTTCAAGTTCTGGACCGTCCGGTTCGAAAGAGGTCCAGAGAGTCCGGTTCATTGGAGGCCAAGAACGATAACCCGAATGGTCTGGTTAAGACTGATGAGTATGTGGGTGATGCTATGAGCGAGGAGGAGGCAAAAAGTGACGTGGTGGACCTTGAGGAACCCAAAAACCAAGTAGAAGAATCGCAGGAAAAGAGGGAAGAACTCGAGGGTGAAGCTCCAATGGGGGCTTCTGAAGAGGAACAGAAGAGTGATGATGATGTTGTGGTTGAAAGAGGGAGCGAGGATGAACCTAAAACTGGTAATCTATTGGAGTGTTCGAAGGAAGAGGTAATGGATGCAATGGCACGAGAGGGAGAGACATGTTCTCTTAAGGAAGAAGGGGTTATTGGCAATGATTGCAAGGTGAAGGGTGCTTCTGTTGTGAAGCTGCCAAGGAGGTTCACGCGATCAACACTGAAGGAAAAGGTGACAAATGATGAAAAGGTGGCAAATGATGAGGGAGATGGTAGTGGCAAAGGTGTTGAAAATGGTGATGGTGTTAAGAAGGATATTGAGGTTGGCTTGGTAATCAAAACCCCAGCTCAAGTAAAAAAGTCAAAGACTTCTACCGGGAAGAAGTTCCCTACGAAGCTGAAGGACCTTCTAGCCACAGGGATTCTTGAGGGACTATCTGTGAATTATATCCGCGGCGTGAAGGTATTGTCTTATTTTCTTGTTATAGTTCTTTTGAGCTGAAGTGCTTGTTGTGATGCGTTTGAAAATTTTGCAGGCACGAAGGCCTGGTGAAACAGGGCTTAGGGGAGTGATTAGTGGCAATGGGATTGTGTGCTATTGTGAAAATTGTAATGGGGTTGAGGTAAGTAAATGCAGATATATTTTATTTTTCAGTATTCAGTGTCATGTAAAATCTCATGCCTTAGTAATTTATTTATTTTTTAATTTTTGCTGAATGTAGGTTGTGACACCCACTGTGTTTGAACTGCATGCTGGTAGTTCAAACAAACGCCCCCCAGAGTACATTTACCTTGAGAATGGGAATACTCTCCGTGAAATCATGAATACGTGTTTGAATGTTCCGGTAGATACCATGGAGGAAGCTGTCCAAAAGGTCCTTGGTGGCTTCACTATGAAGAAATCTAACTTTTGTTTTAGATGCAGAGGTTTGAAAGTCGCTTGTTTCATTTCTCATCCTTTGTTGATGTGTTAGACAGTTTAAAAGTAATTTTGTAATGTGTTGTGTACTTTTGAAGTTGACAATGTTGTGTCAAGACTATTATGCATTTCATGCATGGAGCTGAAGAATTGTCAGCCTAGCCCCGCTCAAACACCTGAGACTAGCAATAGCTGTGATTCAGTAGCTGTTCAGTCCAGGTATCTTTTTTGTTTGTTTCATAATTATAATTACTACATCTCGTGGTTCTCTGTTAGATTTCAAGTTAAGCACGTTCCTCATAGACCATTTAACATATGCTGGATGATAATTTTGACATGTTATGATATGCAATATAGCTTTTGGTGTAGCTTTACATTAATAGTGAGCTCCTAAAGTAATACTACAGAGCTTGGTGATAGTAACATACTCATGTTGGAAACTTGGAATTCACAATGGAGTTTATTTTCCTTATGCTAGAGAACAGAGAGTATATTAATTGTTTGTTTACTTACATGTTGGCAAGTTGTTTGGTTTTGTTGCATTGACAATTTATGTTCACTCGTACAATTTTCATGTGTACCAAACTACCAAAGGAATAGAGTGCAGACTTGTATTTTGGTTCACGCACACACATGAGTGTATATATGAGGGAGGTTATACTCTCAACTTTTTTTTTTTCCTTACCACCTTTTACAGCCAGTTTGTTAAGATTAGATCGAAATCAAATTAACGGTTCTCACTTGATATCATTTTGTAATCGTTAATTTGATTTTGATCCAACAATAGCGAAAAGGGTTGTAAGCAAAAAGTTGTTAGTATAATCTCCTCCTCTCTCTCTCTCTCTCTCTATCTATATGTCTGTGAGTGACTTGCTATGGGAAGTATTACAAAAGTTAACTCGGATTTCTGCTTCTCATTTTGGTCATGATGATGTAACATCCACTTTCTGACTATTTCAGATCCCCAGAACCTGTTGTGATTCCGAAATCATTAAACAATGGAATGAAGCACAGCACATCTCATGGTAAGAGTCAGGGAAGACTAACTAGGAAGTAAGTATGTTTTGTTGCACATATCTAAACCACTTGCTTCAATTAGAAGTATATTTTTGTGCATGTATCAACATATTATGTTTTAGTCTTATCAGAGATATAATTTTTCCCCTCTGTTTTTAAAATTTGAAAGGGATCTACGCTTGCATAAGTTGGTCTTTGATGAAGAAGTGTTGCCAGATGGAACTGAAGTAGCATACTATGCTCGTGGCAAGGTTGCCTTGATAGTGACTCGTTCTTATTTACCTATATTTATCGCTTTTAACATTCCTGATTGTTTTTTTGTTGAGTGGGCAGCAACTATTGGTTGGTTACAAAATTGGATTTGCAATTCATTGTAGCTGCTGTGACTGTGAGGTACTTTTCCTTATGATGTAGTACACGTTGTCCCAAGCATAATCTTTAACCAGACATTTGACAAATTTTTTTTGGATGAGCAGGTTAGCCCTTCTCAGTTTGAAGCACATGCTGGTTGGGCGTCACGACGGAAACCGTGAGTTTCTGTTTAAATTGTATTACTGGATGTTGGTCACTTGATATTCCTGCTTTATGCATTTAGCTTTGCAATAAAAGGCTAATTATACGATGGGTTTTATATATATATTTTTTATTATTTCTTTCTTTCTTAATCTCCTCCCTCCTCCCCAAATTTCTAAGGTCTCCGTGGGTATGCTGCTCAAAAATTGTAGTATGGTGTTTTGGGAACTGAACAATGTTTTAATGTTGAGTATTCTTTTTTGCAGTTACCTGCACATATACACATCTAATGGAGTCTCACTCCACGAGTTGTCCATCTCTCTATCAAAAGAGCGGAGGTTTTCTACCAGTGATAATGATGATCTATGCACTATATGTCAAGATGGAGGGGATCTTTTGTGTTGTGATGGATGCCCAAGAGCTTTCCACATTGGTAAAGTCTTGCTTACTTTTTTTATTTATTTCAATAAACTACTCTGTATCTCAATGCTATTTATGTGCCTATAGAAGAACTGTTTGCAGCTGACCTCATGCTTACTATTATCATGTGTTTCGCATAAAGCATATTTTTGCTTCCATGTAAAACATGGAGTCGGTCTTGTATGTCATCACATCATCTTTAGTGTTCGCATATTTTATGGTGTAGCTTGGATGAGAGCCAGAATAACAAGTTTTAGTCATCACCAATTGCAGATTGTGTTCCTCTTCCATGTATTCCAAGTGGTACCTGGTATTGTAAATATTGTCAGAATGTATTCCAGAAGGACAAGTATGTGCAGCATAATGCAAATGCTGTGGCAGCTGGAAGGATTGCAGGCATTGATCCTTTAGAACAGATAAACCAGAGATGCATTCGTATTGTCAAAACTCATGAGGTTGAGAATGGTGGATGTGCATTGTGCAGGTAATATCTTGTCATTTTTGTGAGCAAGCTATTATATTGTGAAGTAACATATATTATTTTTTATCTTTTATTCCTATGGCCCTTTTGAACTTGATCAGCACTAAAAAATTTATAGCGGATATATTAATGATATTTATTACTGTCTTATGGCATACTCCTTTTGACCTTAATTTATTCCTACACGTGTTTCTCTATCTCTGGTACAAATTTCTTTAGATTTGTCTTTTCTTGGTCAAGGTTGTTGAATCGTAATACGTATCGTGAATTATATCGAATCGTAAGATACAGAAACATAATAAAAATTAATTTAAAAGTATATAATATCATATAAATCTAAAGTTCAAACCAGTTATTCTCCAAATTATATCTTTATTTACTTTTTTCAATTAATAGAAACTTTTCAATTTTTGTTGATATGAAAATTGCCAATTTTGGTTTGATGATTTTCGTATCGTATGATATACGATTCGATACTATATCGTACGATATAGCGATGCACGGTCCAATACAAGACCCTTCCGACACAACCAACTTATACGTATCGCGGAGATTCTGAATCATAATCGCGTATTGTGTGATACTAACAACTATGTTCTTGATTTAATGTTTCAGGAGCCAAGATTTCAGCAAAACCTTTGGTCCTCGAACAGTAATTATTTGTGATCAGGTATGACTTCATGGGAATCATTGATTGTCATGCCATGTTTTAAGTCCTATATGTATTTGATTAAATTACTGATTGATTTGTCCTTGCAGTGTGAGAGGGAATATCATGTTGGGTGTTTGAAGGAGCATAACATGCAGAACCTAGAGGTACCCCCTTTTTTTTGTGATTTTAAATTTGTTTTTTTTTTTTTTTTTTTTCATTAATACAAGGAATTTTTTTGGGATGTTACGTACCAGGAATTACCTGAAGGGAATTGGTTCTGCTGCTCAGAGTGTGATAAAATTTATACTGCTCTGCTGAGTTTGGTGGCCCGTGGGGAAGAGAATCTTCCCGATTCCCTCCTAAGTCTGATTAAAAGGAAGCATGACGAAAAATGTTTAGAAGCTGGGTCTGATCTTGATATAAAATGGAGGGTTCTGAACTGGAGATCGTTTTCTTCTGATGAGACTAGGCAATTGCTTTCAAAGGCTGTTGCTATCTTCCATGTGAGCATATTTTTATACCTGTATTATTTGTTTTTTAATTTTTGTTCTGTTACACTATAAGTAATGAAATTAAAACCATAACATTATATGTATAGCTTGAGAGATTTGATCCAATTGCTTGAGAGATTTTATTCAGAATTTGATTCTGTGTTTTCTAGGAGCGGTTTGATCCAATAGTTGATTCGTCTTCAGGCCTTGATTTCATTCCGGCAATGCTTTATGGGTAAGCAGCATTTGCTTCTTTTTGTACTATAGATTTTCTTTATGACATTTCTGGACATGTGAATGGAATTTACTTTTTGTTGGCTGGATTTCCATAGAAGGAACATCAAGGGTCAAGATTTTGGCGGAATGTACTGCGCATTGCTCACTGTCAAGTAAGGCTAAGGGTGGAGTCCCTGTGCTAAGTGAATATTTTTTTTGAAGGGATACTTGATTTTGATGTGTATTTTATGTTTTTGCAGCCAAGTGGTTGTGTCCGCGGGATTATTTCGTGTTTTTGGGCCAGAAGTAGCAGAGCTTCCCTTAGTGGCAACAATTACCGATTCCCAAGGACAGGTTGACTTTTCTTCAGAAATGAATATACACCTTTCTAACTTGTGCTTTTAAATTTGAGGAATTAATTTAAGTCAATTAGGTGGTGTTTGGTTGGAAGCTTTTTAGGGGATATCTATCTTTCTCAAGTATGGCTTTTAGAAACACCATGTTTGTTTCAACGTTTTTTACCAAAAACCCATCTATCCAATTTGTCTGGATTTATGAGAAACATAGATATCCGCACTGTTTAGAAACCCAATTTGAAGGTGAGATTTTTCGGAAAACTGGTTATCTGGCTTTTAATGCACTGTTGATTTCATAAAGTTACCTAATTTTTCCAGTAAAGTTTTTCCCCACCAAACAACTTTTTTTTACATTTTTCTACCTATCTCACTTTATCTATCTTTCCAATCATTTCTCTATCTATCTCATTTCCCTACTATTTCAAAAAAATTTCCTCAACCAAACGCCCCCTTTAAGGTCATGTGACAATATTCCTATTGAAAATGTTATGTTTTTTTTTTTTTTTTTTTGCAGGGTTACTTCCAGTCCCTATTTTCTTGCATTGAGAGACTCCTTGGATCTTTGAAAGTGAGAAATTTTGTCCTACCAGCTGCTAGTGTAGCTGAATCCATATGGACCAGTAAATTTGGGTTTACAAAGCTAGACAAAGATGTGGTGTGTAACTTTTTTTATCTTTGCTTTGGAGTTTCATTTGGTTACTTGTCGTTAAACTAACTACGATTCTCATCACAGATAAACAAATATAAGAGAGCTTATCACATGATGGTATTTCAAGGGACCTCGTTACTAGAGAAGCCAGTTCCTGCACTCTAAAAGTACTTTTCACCTGGAGTGTGTAAAATTTTGGGGGATGTCTCATTTGTTTTTGGGTACTAAGCAGAACACACTCCTTGAATGAATGTACAGGATTTATGTTTGGTGTACAGAAAAGCAATCACTCCTCTGCGGTAGCTGTCAATATTTTTTGTAGTACAGAAATTAATGGAGGGGTTGGATTTGAAGGTAGAGGAAACTAGGACATATCAGATTTTGAGAAACTTACAAATTTTGATGCTAAATTCATTTTTTAGTTGTAAAATTGGTTTGCACTTGATTCTAATTTGGTACCATGTTTTAGACGTTTCTTTAGATAATTACATCTGCACTCCTTTAATCAGCTCTAAAATATTTTGTGCGTTATTAGTTTTTCATTCTTTTAGTTGACCTCAATTGAACATAATGGATTTTTTTTATAAACAAAAAAATAAAAAATGCTTCTCTGTTCTCTTTAGGTAGACAAAATAAAATCCGTACATGGTTGGTAGAATTGGAACGAGAGAATGAGAATAATTTTTTCAGCAATTTGGGGTGAAAAATTATCTGTTTAACAATTCTATAGATTAAGGTCAGTAAAATGTGGTGGCATTGATGACTGTGTTTAACAATTTTAGAAAGACAATGCTAATTGTTGTTTTTTTAATTTTTATAGTATTAATTATGCTTGAGCTTATATTTTTATCTTTTAGATAATTTGAAAGTAGTGACGCTAACGCACTAATTTTATTAGTCGATAGGATAAGAGAAACAAAATGGATGAAAAAAATAGGAACAATAAACATGTATATGGAAGTAATTTTTATTCAATTTGTATGAAATTGTATTATCAATATATTCATTTAATTTGCATGTTTATCAATATTATCATACTATTTAATTATGCATAATTATAATATCGAAAGATTGGGATTAACATGAAGATGACGAATGTTGCATAATTCAAAATGCCTGATCCTATATTTTTAATCTATATTTAAAATTCAAGTACCCTTACCCTCAAGCAATTAATATTGTAATTAATTTTGCTTGAGTTTTTTTTTTTTTTTTTTGGTATGCATTTTGCTTGAGTTTAATTTGATCAATTCTTCTTAAGATTATTATATTATTTAATTATGCATTATAATATTATTAAATTTTTTAATTTTAATTCATGTAATTATATTAAAAAGTATTTAGATTATTATCTATGCTAAGAGAAAATTTCTCTTATTCCAAATATAAACATTGTTGGGCATGTGAGGTTCAATTTTTGATATCGACCAATTGCCACCTCACAACCATTGTTGCCGGACCTCAGTCATCCATTACTGTACTACTATCCATCTATTAGCTACCACCATCACCATTGGTTATCACCATAAACTACTAGCCACCACCGTCACCCCCACAATCGGTTAGTCCCCAACAATTGCAACCAGTCGATGCCACCGCCATCACCATTATAATTGCCACTGCCATCGACCAGCCACCACCACCCTTAGCCATTAGACATCAACCATTATTGTCACCATTAGCCATCATTGCCACTTCCACCAAGCCAGTCACTGGTGGAGGCGTAGAGCCACGTTGGCTCCAGCCAAAGGCACTGACTATTTTTAAAAATTAGCCACGTTTTAGATGTGGATAAATAACTATAGTTAGGTTGCATCACCTGAAAGTGATAGAATTTAGTGTTTAGCATCGACTAATTTTTTTTAGCACGAGCTGAGCAGTTTTGCTAGCTCCATCTCTAAAACGAGTCTTGAGATATATAGAAAACTAAGAGGATTTGAATATGTTGTTATATTTAATGAAATGACTGATAGCCAATATATACACAAGTCGGTTATACAGAATCAAGGAGGATCAACTAGAATAAAGTATACTGTTCAACAAACTATACATGGAATAATAACAAACTATTCTTGCTAAAAACTAGGACTTAGTTGCTAAAGGATAAGATCAAAGGTGATCTTCTCCTAACACGCCCCCTCAAGTTGGAGCATGAAGTGACGAAATGCCCAACTTGCTGTGAAGAAAACTGAATTGCTTCATGCCAAGCGGTTTGGTAAATATGTCTGCGAGTTGCTGATCTGTACGAACGTAGGTAGTAGTGATTGTATTGCTGAGAACATGATCGCGTACAAAATGACAATCAATCTCTATATGTTTGGTACGTTCGTGGAAAACTGGATTAGCAGCTATTTGCATGGCAGATTGGTTATCACAGTGCAACTGCATAGGGTGTGAATGTGGAACATCAAGCGAGTCCAGAAACGATTTGATCCATAACAACTCAGCTGTAGCTGCTGCCATTGAACGATACTCAGCTTCAGCGGAGGAGCGAGACACTGTGGGTTGCTTCTTTGTTTTCCAAGAGATAGGAGAAGTACCCAACATGATAAAATAACCAGTAACTGATCGACGGGTGAGTGGACAGCTAGCCCAATCCGAATCAGAATATCCACGAAGAAGGAGATCATTGTCGGATCGAAGGAGTAAACCTTGGCCAGGATCAGTTTTGATGTACCTTAAAATGCGGATGACAGCATCATATTGAGCAATAGTAGGATTTTGCATGAACTGGGAAAGAACATGGACGGAGTAACTTAACTCAGGTCTAGTAATTGTCAAGTAAACCAAACGTCCTATGAGTCTTCTGTAACGTGCGGGATCCGAGAATGGAGGACTTTCTGTAACTGCAAGCTTATGATTTGTTTCGAGAGGGAAGGCACATGGTTTGCACGCAAGGAGACCAGCGTCTTCCAATATGTCGAGAGCGTACTTTCGTTGGCTCAGAAAAAGACCTGATGGACCGTGAGCTATTTCGATGCCAAGAAAATATTTAAGAATCCCCAAATCCTTGATGTGAAAGCATGACTGGAGAAAGACCTTGACATCGGTGCATAAGGCATCATTGTCGCCCGTTAGAATAATGTCATCAACGTAGATGAGAAGAGCAACAAAATGGCCATCTTTGTGTAAGGTGAATAGGGTGTAATCTGCCTTGGATTGGATGAAGCCATATGATTCAATGGAAGACCGCAACTTAGCAAACCAATTGCGAGGGGACTGCCGCAAACCGTAGAGAGATTTACGTAAGCGACATACTTGATGTGGTTTGTGATGATTGAAACCTTGTGGAACGCGCATGTAAACTTCTTCGGTAAGGTCTCCGTGTAGAAAGGCATTCGTAACATCCAACTGGTATAGGTGCCATGATTTGGCAGCAGCTACCGCAAGAAGTGTTCGGACACTCACCATTTTGGCTACAGGAGCATATGTATCGAAGTATTCTTCTCCAGCTATTTGATTGTTACCGGCAATGACCAACCGTGCTTTGAATCTCTCCACTGTACCATTTGAGTTGTACTTAATGCGGTATACCCACTTGCATGGAATGGCACGTTTTCCTGGTGGCAAAGAAGTGAGTTCCCACGTGTGATTTTGTTCAAGGGCATCTATTTCTTTTCGCATTGCTACACGCCACCTTTCATCAGTTACAGCATCCTTGAATGTTTTTGGTTCAACACCAGAAGAAATGGCAGCAAGGAATTGTTGATGTTTGGGAGAGAATCTAGAACAAGAAACAAAGTTAGCAATAGGATAAGCCATACCTGAGGAAGGACTGGAAGAAGTAGAAGAAGCTAGTGAATTATGTTCGATGACTTTGGAGCATTCGAAATCTTGGAGATATGATGGAGGACGGCGAGAACGGTGACCACGTCCCAAAGGTGCAGATGGATGTGTGACTTCTGGGGGCTGTTCTTGTCGGATAGAAAGCTCATTGGAGACAGTAGGGGCAGATTCGGGCTGAGCCTGTTCAACAGGGAGAGTGTCTTCAATTAAAGGGACAGAGTTGGTAACAACTTGGGAATCAAAGGATGGGCTTTGTGGAGCAAGGGTTGGTTCGGGTGATATGGGGTTGTGGGGGTTTGGGTCGCGAGGAATATCAGTGGTAGGAATGACTGTGGTTGGTGCAAAAGGAAAGGTGTTCTCTTCAAATACCACGTCTTTGGATACAAAAACAGTATGTGTTTCAAGGTTATAAAGCCTCCAACCCTTTTTGCCAAAAGGATATCCCAGGAACAGACACCGAGTTGATCGAGCTGCAAACTTGTCCAACGGTTTGGGACGTGGATGAGCGTGGCAAAGACATCCGAATATGCGAATATGATCATAGCTGGGTGTGCGGTTGAAAAGACATTCATATGGTGTTTTTCCTTGGAGAAGAGGAGTGGGGGTTCTATTGATTAAATGTACCGCAGTTAGAACACATTCACCCCAAAACTCGATAGGAAGACTAGCTTGAAAGCGTAATGCTCTTGCAACATTCAAAATATGTCTATGTTTCCGTTCAACACGACCATTTTGCTGTGGTGTGTCTACACATGATGTTTGATGTATAATTCCCATATCGGAATAAACCTTGCGGAGATTATGAGCACAAAATTCTGATCCATTGTCGGAGCGTATTATTTTGACCATGGTATTAAACTGATTACGTACCATGAGAAGAAATCGAGTTAAGTATTGGAACGTTTCAGACTTGGTGGTCATTAAATAAACCCAGACGTTTCTGCTATAATCATCCACAATTGTTAAAAAATATCTTGCATCGGTTAGAGAGGTAGTTTGATATGGACCCCAGATATCGCAGTGAATAAGATCAAAGCATGCAGTAGTTTTATTAATGCTAATAGGGAATACAGTACGAGTTTGTTGTGCGCGTAGGCAAATGTCACAAACTGAAGGAGAATGACCCCTATTTTTATTCACTGTAACAAAAGGAAGAAAGCTTAAAAACTGAAATGAAGGGTGACCCAATCGACGGTGCCAAACATCTGCATTCTGTTGAGTGTGAGCCGCACATGCAGTAGAGATGGATTTGTTGTTGGATGAGTCATGCACATAAACACCAGCTTGCAATCTACCCAGTCCAGTCTTGATCCTCGTTATGGGGTCCTGCAATTCACAGCCATTGTGAGTAAAAGAAATGATGCAATTTGTATCAGCAAGTAATTGAGCAACTGATATGAGGTTGCATTGTAATTTGGGAACATATAACACATTCTGAAGAGAAATATGAGATGTCAACTTGAGACTGCCACTGTGATTGGAAACAAGTTGATCACCATCAGGTAAACCTATTGTAGTGGGTGGAATAGATGTAACATTGGAGATCAAATGGAAGTTCCCTGTCATGTGTTGAGAAGCGCCACTATCCACCAACCAGGTAGAAGGCAAAGTGTGCTTACCAGAAAGGGATGTAGTGTTAGCAGACGGTGTAGTGGAGGAAACAACCATGTTGGCAATTTGCTGTAGAAGCTCAGGACTCAGGTTGGGAATCGAGTTTTGGTTGGACACTATAGGTGTTGCAGCTGCTGTTTGTGATGCAGAAAAATTGAATGGGTTGGGACGCTTGTCATTAGCATTGATATTGACAGCGGAAGAATCTGAATCAGAATCAGCCATTGGGAAAGTAGATCGATACCTTCAAACTGATACCATATAGAAAACTAAGAGGATTTGAATATGTTGTTATATTTAATGAAATGGCTGATAGCCAATATATACACAAGTCGGTTATACAGAATCAAGGAGGATCAACTAGAATAAAGTATACTGTTCAACAAACTATACATGGAATAATAACAAACTATTCTTGCTAAAAACTAGGACTTAGTTGCTAAAGGATAAGATCAAAGGTGATCTTCTCCTAACAAGATATTATATCTATGTATAAAATGGTTTTGACTTTTATGTAAAGTTTGTCGAAAAAAATAAATACATATTCTTGTTTTAAAAAATCTATCCACGGTTTTTTAATTTTTTTAAAAAATCCGTATATAAAATTAAAAATAAAATAAGAATCCTTGTAAGGTTCATAAAAACGGCCTAGTCTTTCGAATATAAATTTGTTAAGAAAAAAAAAATTGGATAAGAACTCTCTTTAATTTATCACGCTTCCACACCTGAGTGAGTGTATATAAAATTTCACTAAGAAGCGGCGGGAAAATTACGAAATTTGAATTGGAAAAAGTTGCTTCCTGGCCGTTGATTCTTAATTATGATATCGTCTCAATAAAATAGAAAAAACAAAATAAAATATCCCACAAAATAATTATGGAAAAAACATTTGTCATTTTAATATTAATATTTGTTGAAAGTTTTTAAATTCTTTTCCAAGTCGGATCATCGCAAATATATTCCTTCATTTCGCACACTCTGCTCCGCACTCTCATTTCTCACTTCCCTTGTAAGTTGCGCATCGCTCTTCCTTTTCTCTTCATTCAAATTTCAATTCCATGTTGTTTCCGATAATTCGATTTTTTTTCTTTTTTTCTGAAAGTGCTCTATTTTACCTTTTGGCAGATTAAATCGAACGATTCACAAACCCTAGTTTTTGAGGATGGGTCAGATCCAGTACTCTGAGAAGTATTTCGATGACACCTACGAGTATAGGTATATACACACGATCCTAATTCCTTCAACTTCTTTGTGATTGAATGAGTGATATGAATTTTTCTTTTCTTTTCTCAATTTATTGTTCAGGCATGTTGTTCTGCCTCCTGAAGTCGCTAAACTGCTTCCTAAGAATCGGCTTCTCTCTGAAGTACGTAATTGTTTTTTCTCCTTTTTCCGTTAAATTTGTGCTTTGTGTGTAATTTATCGGTGTTGTGTGTCAAAGTTCTTCCAATTTTTTTTTATTTTTTTATTTTTTTTATGAAGAACCTGCCCATGAAAATGGATAGAAATTCTTAGGTTAGTTATTTCTTCTTTTTCTTTTTTTGTAATTTTTGACAAAATGGCCTTTGCACCAAAAGAAATGTCCACTGGCAATTGATTAAGGACTGCTGGGAATGATTGATATGTTTTAGATGCTCAGTATTGCCAGTGTTTTTCATATTTTTATTTGAAAATTGATTAATTTTGTCAATCACTGAAGGTTGTGTTCTGAAGATTCTTCTTTTATCTTTTTTTTTTTGGTATCAGTCATAGGATGGGAACTTAGGGTCATAAATAAGGCATGCTCTTTGTTCTATGTTGTTTTATCTAAAGGAAATTGAAGCTATATGGTTTGAATGATTTTGGGGTTTTCTTTTGCAAATTTTATGAGTTATGCTGTTTTTTATTTTATTTTATTTTTTTGGTTATTATAGAGACCGTCTAAGTACTTGCTTTTGGTTTCATATTACAGAATGAGTGGCGTGCAATTGGGGTTCAGCAGAGCCGTGGTTGGGTTCATTATGCAATTCATCGTCCTGAGCCACACATAATGCTTTTCAGGAGGCCTTTGAATTATCAGCAGCAGCAGGAAAGCCAGGCCCAGCAAAGCATGCTTGTCAAATGATTACTTTCAATTGAAAATCTGAAAGTGGAGTACAATATTATATATAGGTTTTATAGTCTGTTGATGTTATGAGACCTAACTGTTGTGAAATTCTCTATTGTGGATAGTTTTCATGTGGTTTCAATTGTCGTTTGAATTTGCTAAAGACATGATGTTTCTTAGATGTATGTTGGTGTACTGGTGTACCTCTGGTGTACTCGTATGCTTGGTGGATTATTATGTTCATTTTCAATGTCATTCTGCTAGTGATCTTGTACTTTCCATGATTATGTCATTTATAGTTTCAGTGATAACGTTGTGTTGTTTGCAGGGAGGTTTAGCATACGATGAATTGTCTTTATGGCGAGGGTTGATTTTTTTTTTGGTCAAAAGGGCTCCGTTAGGAATTTTTATTGTTCCCGTCAAGTGAAAAATTGCTTTGTGAACAAAACCATTGATCATGCTGATTCGAGTTATTGATGCGCTTTTTGTGTTATAAACTAGGGGGAGGTTATAGTTGATTTTCGTTATTTTAACGGTCCTAATTTATTAGGTTATATTAATTAATTATTAATTTTTCAAAAAATTATAACTGTTAAATTGACAGAAATTAACAGTTAAGATTTAGTAGTAAGAGGTAGTAAAAAAAAAAAAAGGTAGTGGCTATAAGCTCTCCATATAAACTAATAGGAATAGTAGTATTTTGTTTTTGATTTTTTTTTGGGGCTTTCGACCAGACTATTAGACGCCCCACAAAGACCGTCAGAAACAATAACGTTCATAGAATATTTCATCCATGTCTAAAAAATGAAAAGATGAGGAAAAACAAACATTTCATAGTTTCCTGAATCAACCATGAATCAATATTATTGCTGCAAGAGTCTGTGTTGTATCCTAGAATGTGTATTATTATTAGGGTTCCTTTTTTTACAGTGACTGGATAATTTATTTGACTGGATAATTTATTTGCATTGAGTCTATGGTAGAAATTAAAGTGTTTTGATAATTTTAATTTATTTCAGTGTTATAATAGTCTTTATTATTATAAATTTTTAATCTTTTAACCTAAAATGACATCCTTTTGAGAGTATATGTAAATAACTTATCTGCAGTCATTTTAGAAATATTTTTTTGTATTAGTAAATAGAAAATGCAACGTACTCATATATAGAGGCTTTAATGTTTCTAAAGTGAATGTAGATAATTCGCTCCCAAAACGACGTCGTTTTGAGTTGAAAAATTAAAAAATTATAATGAAAAAGACTATTATAATCCTGAAATAAATTATAATTACAAAAATACCTTGATTTCTACCTCAAAACGACGTCGTTTTGCGTTCACTGTAGATAAGTTATCTACATTGACGGTAGAAAAAATGAACCCATATATATTGCCATTTTTTAATAAAATGAGTTAGTTAGGCTTTTGTTTATTAGATAAATTTGGAGGAAAATGTTTGTCCTTTTAAAGGATGATTCTTTTAGTTAAATCTAGTGTATTTTATTTAAAATTTGAATTAAAAAAATTCTATCACTTTTCCCCCATGATTTTTATTGTGTATTTTTTTTCTCTCAATTAAAATAACATAATTCTATGTTTTTTAAAAGGGGAAAGATTAATCCCATAAATTTATAGCTGGATCTTTTCAAACACTTATACTTGAGATCCCTTTATATTATGAACAAACCTTATACAAAGTTCCTTGCTTCTTTAGTGTTATTTTTTAAATAAAAGTAAAGAAAAAACATTTATCCTTTTAAAGAACTGTCATTTTAGTCAAAAGTAATACTTTTATTTAATATTTAAATTAAAAAAACCTTCCAATCTCACATCATGATTTCTATTTTTTTTTTTATCATAGAACTCAGTAGTTTTGATTAAAATGATACAATTGTATATTTTTTAAAAAGATAAACATTAATCCAAAAAATAAATCGTTTATTATTGCTTCTCATAGATTTATGAAAACTTATAACTGAACATGGGGTGACTAAAACATAACGTGTTGTTATTTTTATTTTAAAAAATTCAAACTGGTTTATTTTAGTTTTAGCATTTTTTGATTCATATTAGAGGTGATTTTTTCAACATTTATTTATTTATTTTCAATACTCAAATTCTAGATATCTAATTAAAAAAATATTGGGAGCACCCATATTATGTTTTTATTGAAGAATTGTGAGCAACCATAGAACTTTAGCTTAGCTTAAGATTTTTTTTTTTTTTTTTTTTTGGAAATATTCCATCGGTTCATCGCTTCGCGATTAGTCCGATTCGGGACGGGTCCAAGATTAAGGCTTTAAATCCCTCCCAAAGGTGGTACTGGAGAGGTTCAAACACATGCCCTCACCCCACCTGTTCAGCTCCCATGCGCCAGCTGAGCTACCATTTGGTAAAATTCTTTTTTCTAATCCAATGTCTTGTTGCTTATTTTCTTACAATAGTAGCTTGGTTTACTACAATAGGTTGGTTTTTTTTTTTTGGTAAATACAATAGGTTGGTTTTTCTTTAACCACTAGGCTACATGATAGTAAAAAATATAATAAAATAATATAATTAAGAGTAAATAATATTACTGCACTACACAATCTCTTTTATATTTAATGATGGATTTAATATTTATAATCACTTTTTTTTATAATATTTTAAAATTGATTTTTTATTTTTGGATCAAAATTAAATCAATGATTACAAAATGATATCAAGTAAGAACCATTGATTTAATTTTAATTTTAATTTTATGATAAAAATATATTATAAAAGTTTATAATATAAATACAACCTTTATATCATATTTTATTTGAAGACGAAGGTTTATGAACAAAATAAAAATTCATGCAAAATCCGTTAACCGTCGTGAAGGGCCGGGCCGGGCCGGGCCACTTTCCGAACCGTGGCCTAAGATGATTCCCAAATTCGCTCATCCACCTTCATTCTTCCCCAAACATTCACTGCAATTCGAAATTGTGATCGGGAATTAGGGCTCGCAAGTTTCCAACTTGAAGAGCAAAGACAGTACTTGCTACAGGATCCAGATTGGGGTAGTAGCGTTGCAACGAGTTTCGAAAGAACAAGTTTTGGACCATTTCTGAGGTTAGGTCTTTTAACTGATTAACCCCTTGCGTCCTTTAATTTTGAAAGAATGATTCAATTTTATGATTTCGTACTTTCAATATGCACAAAATTCATTTAGGGTTTTCGATTTGGGATGATGCATATTTATAGTTCTTATTTATGCTTATCAGGTCGATTTGGTTTTTTACATTGATGGCTAGATCACGCAATCTAATGGTTGCTACTGGCCTAGTTGCTTTTGCTTCAGCAGGCTTGGCATTTCCCTTCTACATGGCGTAAGTCAACTCAATTAGTTGACTTTCATTCACAATATCTAATCACTATGATTATAAACTTACAAGTTCACAAGTTAATAATTATAAACTTTGTTATTGTATTGTATTGCTCAGGTCTTCAAAGAAGCCTGTTATTGACCCAACAAAGCCACTCCCACCACAAGCAACTTTTCGAGGGCCTTACATTAATACAGGTTCACGTGATGTTGGTCCTGATCATCAAACTTACCAGAAGAAATGAAGCAGCAACTTGTGAATGACCCGATTTGAGTTAGATGACCAAGCTCATATATATATGCTTATTGTTTGAAAATTGAAAGCAATTTATTTTCGCCAGTTTGGTGGACTATATGGCATGGCTGGCTGGTTGCTGGAACAGAATTGCAAAATGACTTTGATAACTAAATATCATTTTGAAGTCTTGGAAAGGAGTGAATGAGAGTTCTTTTCCATAAGATGTTTTTCAGTATGTATGGTTTATTATATCATTCTTAGTGATTTCAATAAAAAGTTCAATAATGTTATTAATCATGCCACTTCTTATTTGTATCCATCTCATCTGTTAGTTTGCAAATGATCAATATTATATCGCTTACCTTGTCACCATACAATTGCCAAAAATGTAAGCTCTGTAGCGACTTTAGCCTTTGACAAAGCCTAGGTGGTTGCTGCCAATTGCAGGTTTATACCTTGTTTTGATGGAAGATTTCGCATGGACTTTGCATGGGGTAGTGTGTAAAAAATTGTTTTCAGTTTACTGGTTGCAGTTGGATGTTTAGTCCTCCTCCTTTAAATAGAAGGAACGTCTGTGAAGCAATTCCTTTACTTCTCTCTTTCTTTCTTCTTCTTTTAGTTTAGTTATGTTTTGCGTTTTTTTCCAGAAAGAAATCCTGTCATTCAGTTTTACGTTTTAGCGACTCAGATATGTAAGTATAAGAGAATGTGTTCTCTGCCAGATCATGTGACTTAATCTTAATTATTCATAGATAAATTAATAATTATTATTTTTCCATTCTTTCTTTTCGTGCGCTCTCTCTACATTGATATTATCTCACATGACCTACCTAGTTAAATAAGGCATGAATTAATCAATTCCCTGACCATGGCAACACATTTGCCAATTGATTTTACCCCTATGCTGTACTAATATTTTGTCCATTTCATCATTTCCTTACCACTTACCAGTGTCTCACCCGTCAGCCTTTTTAATTTAGGCAAAGCAATTGACTTAAAGATTAGATTATGATATCTATGACCAAAGCCACAAAGTGCCTCTTCTTGGCATGTCCTATCTGTTCAAGTTCATACTCAGGCTCAACCGTACTGAAAATATTTGTGCAAGAAGCACTTGTAGTTGTTAAACCTCGACCACTGAATCTCTGTAGCCATTTAACAAAGTGGAATCAAAATCTAATGTGACTTAGGATATAAGATACTTAACCAAGGGCGGTGCAGCATTTTCACACGAGACACCTACCCATTGTTTCATCGTTCCCACTGTTTTTCATCTAGCAGATACTAGAAGCCACCAAAACAGCTGGCCCACAAGTACTAAACGTATATGTGCTACTTGGCAACAAATGCATCAACCTTTGAATGTTCTTCAAAGTTGTGGACATCCATCGTTCCACCGAACTGATCTTTCATCTTTCATTTTCTTTTACAAGAAAAAAAGGGGAAAATTTTATCCCCGTAATTAAGCAAACTTTGACCAATAACTTTTGACACGAATACTCGTCGAAGAATTTCCTGTAATTAAACATGTTTATGCCTCCTAAAACTAACACTAAGCGCTGTAGTAATTCATTTAAGCGAGAAAATAAGACAAGAAAAAAGTGATCGGAGAATGACAATGTTGAACAGCATTTGAAACTTGCACGACTCAACAATTGGTGTTTTATTCTCTTATTACATGTCATCTGAATATCTCTATACAGTTCTTCAAACGTTAACAGCTTAGAAAAATTCAAAAAAAGGAAAAAGAAAGAAAAGAAAAACCACCATTGATGGCACTGTCACACTCTACCTCTGCCTTAGCAACCGTAGTTACACTTTCATCGCCGAGAAGCAAACCTCTGAAACTGAAACCCGTCGCTGTTTTCTCCTTCACAAAGGTACCATTTTTCACGAAGCAAACAAGACCCAGAAGCAGAAGAAACCTTTCCCTAACCCCTCCACGTGTTGCTGCGCCACCCACAACAATTGAACCCGATAAACCATTCCCCGAAACGGAAAGGAGCGAAATTGAAGACGAGTTTGGCGATGAGAGCTCGTCCTCGAAGTTCTCTTGGAGGGATCACTGGTACCCAGTTTCGTTAATTGAAGATTTGAACCCTCGCCATCCCACACCGTTTCAGCTTCTGGGTCGTGAAATCGTGCTCTGGTATGATAACTCCAAATCCCAATGGGTTGCTTTCGACGATAAATGCCCACATCGTCTTGCTCCCTTATCTGTATGTGTACTTCTTCTTCTTCTTCTTCTTCTTCTTCTTTTTTTGTCAATTTCTTTTTCTGACGAATAGATTGAAGTTAGATTCCCACAGAAGAACATGGAAAAAAGAGAACTTGTTTTTTTTTTTTTTTTTTTATCAAATTTGGGTGTTTGGTTTTTGTAGGAAGGAAGGATCGATGAAGGTGGAAACTTGCAGTGTTCTTACCATGGATGGTCTTTCGATGGGTGTGGATCCTGTGTTGTGATCCCTCAAGCTTCATCTGAAGGTCCAGAAGCACGTGCTGTTCGATCTCCTAGAGCATGTGCCACTAGGTTCCCTACCATGGTGTCTCAGGGCTTGCTCTTTGTTTGGCCTGATGAGAATGGTTGGGAGAAAGCAAATGCCTCCAAGCCTCCATTGTAATTAATTTAATTCTGTCTTTAGTCTTATAAATTATATATATCTTAAATTGTTTAAGTTTATTAAACTAATTGTAATTGTAATTGGGCCACTTAAGATGTTGTCTGATGTTTGTTTATGTTGATTAAAGGGTTTTGTGTTGACCTGTATGGTGTAATATTGTGATTGTTTAGGTTGCCTGATGACTTTGAAAAGCCAGAGTTTGCCACGGTGAACATTCAGCGTGATCTGTTCTATGGCTATGATACTCTCATGGAGAATGTATCTGACCCTTCTCACATTGATTTTGCTCATCACAAGGTACAAATAACACCTTGCAACTTGACTTTTTGGTGCAGGATATTTTATTTTAAATCTGTTTGCTAGTTGATAATATTTTATTTTGGTCCTGCTGCAAGTGGAATTTTCTATGTATAGTAAGTGATGCTGATGTAGCCCAAAAATTATTATTATGGAGAAACTTTTGGTTAGTCCCACTTATTATATATCTTCACTCACTGAAACCGCCTCTTGATTAGCATATTTAAAAACTGAGGTTAGTTAGGGTAATTGAGAAGCCTTCTTCACAGGTAACGTTTTGACTGAACAGGATATGGTGATCCTTGATTTTGACGTTGTGTTATTTTTCTAGCATTCAGTCTTTTCTCTTGTGAAAATTATGTGAAATATTTTGGCTGAATTTGGTTAGGCTGTTACTCTCAAACACCAGATGTTTTAAGTATGTGATCATATGTTTCATTAAGCTCATAGATGTGCTTTGTCTATTTATGGTCCCTGTATTTCACATGTTTCTTTATCATTTTGCTTCTTAATATGTATTATTAGTTTAGACACTGTCTAAATAAGCAGTTGCAAAAGTTGAAATTATTTGGTAGTGTTTGGGTTCAACAATTCCCAAATCACTAACATAAAAATGATCCACACTTCACAGGTTACAGGTAGGAGAGATAGAGCCAAGCCTCTGCCATTCAAGATGGATTCTCGTGGTTCATGGGGCTTTGCAGGAGCTAATGAAGGGAACCCACGGATCAGTGCCAAATTTGTTGCACCATGTTATTATATGAACAAGTAAGCTAATAGCTTTTGCATTTGAAGTAACTGTCACATGTATCTTGGTTTTGTTTTCCATGTGCATTATTTAATGCTGGCATAAGTAATGAAGTTTTGTATGAATTCTGTATGTGTTTATGGCCCCAAAATTTGTTTTCGCAGGGAAAAAGTGTTGGGTAGCTTTCTAGTATCATGTATTAAGTCGTGAGTGTCTTGTCTCACATACTTGTGAAATGAAACTGTTAAGTAGAAACTGTCAAAGCTTCCTCAAAATGTGGATGAATTCGTCATACTATCAATTTTGAGAGTTTACACAAATCTTTTCCTTTTCCTTTCTGAATTTCTTTCTTTCTTTTTCAACCTCTAAAGGACTAACGGGAAAGTAATTTAAATTTTAAAAAATGTTTAACTGTCTTTCTAGTCAAACATTAGGTATTAGCATACCATCTTCTGTTTAAGATGAGACATGTCTTGCTAAGTTAGCTGTACCTTCATTACATAGAATGTGAGCTGCTTGGAAAGGATTCTCAGACCTGTCGTGTGATTCTTTGGATAATGCATGAATCTTCAATCTCAATTTAAGTAGGTATAGTTATATCTAGAGTGAATGCATTTGGAGGCAGGTACCACTCACTGTATCATGTTTATGTCCAATATTTCAAGATTCATTTCAAATAACTATTACACTATTCTAGGTCGCTGTTGTTTTCTTTTTCATTTGTTGCTACTGAAGCTCACTACGCTTGGCATTATTGTTGCAGAATCGAGATTGATACCAAACTCCCAATAGTTGGTGACCAGAAATGGGTAATATGGATATGTTCCTTCAATGTCCCCATGGCACCTGGTAAGACTCGCTCCATTGTTTGCAGTGCTCGAAACTTCTTCCAGTTCACAGTGCCAGGGCCTGCCTGGTGGCAAGTAAGATTTCTATGTTCAATGCTATAGTTTCCCTTCTGTTTGATAAAAGCACATTTGAATTCCCTTCTGCTTATGTCTATAGTATTTCTCTGATTTATCTAAACAAATAACTTGTTCTGTCATGATGATAACGGTGTAGCAAATTTTGTAGTCTCAATCAATGTGGTAAGCTGGAAGAATTTGTCTACTTTGAAAGTATACATAGACCAAGAAATATTGAATTTTCTTTGTCTGTCCTGTAAAAGAACACTATATTGAATGTTTCTTTGTGTGTCCAGAAAAAGGTTCATCTCCTTTAATTTTTCCTCTTAAGACCCTGCAATATCATTACTTGCTTCAGTTACAGTATAAGTTGACATAAATTATTGGTTTATTATGGCAACTGATATTCATCAACATAATATGGAAAGAGTATAAAGAGACACTGAGATTTAGTTTTTCTTTCGTTAAAAATAGGTGGAAGGATGTTAGAACATTCAACTTTGTCTAGTATTATGTGCACAAGCAAAAGTTTTTTGTTTGGATCAGTAAATACATGTCAAAGTTCTAAAGTTTTCTTGCAGTATAAGACTATGACAGTTGCCTTCATGGCCTTCTACTGGTGTGTAGTTGAAATGGTGCTACTTGTGCATCATTTAGGAGAGAAATTAAGCCATGGATTTGTATGTCATTACAGTTTGTGAAGGAAGTGAGTAAAAAAATCCCTTGGAATAATTTTATTCTAATGTAAAATCGTACAAGGGATGGATTTTATGTGGAGTTTATTCTAATTTTATTCTACTCTTGGCTGTGGAGTTTTAAAAATCACGTCTTTGGATAAAACATTAGCTGATGTAATTCCTCTTACAAAATCAGCTGTATTAGTAACTATAACTGATGTAAAGTGACTAAAGTCTATTGCTGAATCCAATAATTTGGCTTATCTTACCATGCCTTTTCTGACTTCTCTGTAGATCTTTCAGGTCAATTATCAGTGTTCTCATGTAACTTATCTTTATTCAGTTGGCTTAACTACCAAGTAATCTTACTGTTTGCCTTGTCTCACGTCTGGCTTTTGCATGTCTCAGGTCGTTCCTAGATGGCATGAACATTGGACTTCAAACAAGGTATATGATGGAGACATGATTGTCCTCCAAGGTCAAGAGAAAATCTTTCTTTCAGAAACAAAGGATGGCGGTGACATTAACAAAGAGTACACAAACATCACCTTCACACCAACACAGGCAGATCGCTTTGTCTTGGCATTCCGTAATTGGCTGAGGCGACACGGCAACGGCCAACCAGAATGGTTTGGCAAGAGCAGCAACCAGCAGTTGCCATCAACTGTTTTATCAAAACGCGAGGTACCATTGCTTGATTAAAAAAAAAATCACTTCCAATTAAATCCCAATTAACGAGAGAGAGATGAGGACAATCCTTATGTGCAGCCTTATCCTTGCATATTTGCAAAGAGACTATTTTTCAAATTTAAACCCGCAACTATTCAGTCACAAAGGAGCAGTTTTACTACTGCTCCAGCCTGCTCTCGCCAAAGATCATATATTGGAATCATGTAATCTGCCTCTCATAATGGAGTTTTATATAGTACTAGGATGATGTTTTTTTTTTTTAACCCTCCCCATTTTTCACAAACCAAGAATGAAATCCAACATGATGATCATTTTATTTTGTTGTTTGTAGATGTTGGATAGATTTGAACAGCACACACTCAAGTGTTCATCATGTAAAGGAGCGTATGAGGGATTCCAAACATGGCAGAAGATAATGATTGGTGCAACAGTTGTGTTTTGTGCAACATCAGGGATACCATCAGATACACAGCTGCGTATACTTTTGGCTGGACTCGCAATTGTCAGCGCAGCCTTAGCATTTGCCTTAAATCAACTCCAAAAGAATTTTGTATTCACCGATTACGTGCATGCCGAAATAGATTAAACACATTACGACTAGTTTGTTAATAGGGTTGTAGAAAAATAGTACATGTATGTATGTGTACATGCATATATTTTGATCAAAAGTGTTCATATCTATCTACGTGTGTTATGACCAAAGGACAACGTAAAAACCCAAGGTTTATTGAAATTGAATTGCAATTTCAAAAAATAAAAAAATAAAATTGTAGAGAATTACAGCAAAACGTGGCCGCAATTAGAGTTATGATTCAGGAAGCAAAACCGCAATATTGCAATGTGAAAGCATGAAAAGAACGATTGCTTTCAATTAAGGGATATATTTTTCTTATGTTGTAGGAAAAGAATTACCTCATGTTGTAGAAATAAAAGTATAAGTGGGACCCACATGTAAGAGGAGAGAGAAAAAAAAAGTGGTGGGACCCAACCCTTTTTGTGTGTGTAGGAGAGATGTTTATCTCATGTAAAATGAGATAAACATAACCCTTCAATTAATTGCATGAATAAAATATGATTGATCCTCTTCAACACAATGACGTGTGTTGGGTTTAACGTTTGTTTAAAAAAGTCTTTGGATGTTGACGTGAGTAGATGGTGGATCTAATATTTAATTGGTTGAATTGGATGGGTTGCAGTTGATGGCGTGGACCGATGGATCTTCGTTTTGTGAATTGGACGGAGGGGAGTCGTTTTACATTCTAGGTGAGGATTTTGTCTTAAGTTTTTTTTTACCAATCCCTTAAAATTTGGATCATTCGCAAACTGTGATTCTGTTACTATAAATTAGAAAACGAGGAGGATATTCTTATTATAAAAAAAAAATTCATTATCAATTTATTATTTATCTAATTATTATTGGATGAGAGAGAAAAATGGTAATTAGATAAGTAGTGAGTTGATAATAGAATTTTTTTGGTAATAAGAATATCATCTCTCGTTGTAAAATTTGTTAATCTTTAAAAATCTTCTACTGTAATCAAGAAAAATTATTTTATAGTTTGTAAATTAATCGAAACATCTGGTCTTCAATGTGTAGTGTAAATCATTTAATGATCATTTCATGCATCCACTATAGATATTTCTTACCTCTTTAAAAAAAGTGTTTTTTGTATTTTTTTTGTTTTGAAAGTTAAATGCTACAATACAAAACAAAAACAACTTATATATATTTTTCTAAATTTGATCCTAAAATCTAAAAAAAACAGTTATAATTTTAAGAACTATTTTAACAAAATAGACATTATCAAATAATTTAAAATCAGAAAATTATTTTTGAGAGCTGAATTTAAACATGCCTGAAATATCCCTTCTACCTTTTGTATATCTTACTCAATAATAAAGTATTCTAAATATGAGAGAGATTATACTTACAATATCTTTTATTTACCTTTTTAATTGTTGGATCAAAATCAAATTAAGAGCTGATTTTGATCCAACAACCAAAAAAGTAGTTCTAAGAATTTGTTTTTATAAAGGTAACCTTTTTCTCTAAATATTATTGTTACTTTTGCTTGCTTTGAAATAAAATAATAAATCTAACACCTTCCTATGTAGGAGCGAATATGTAGTAGTCCCGGCACATGTATGTCGGGAGGAGAGAGAGTGAGAGAGAAATAGTGAAAAGAAGAGAGAGAAAATAGAAGAGAGAAAAAAATAAGGAAGAACTATGGAATATTCCCCCTGTGGGGAGATTTGGAAAAATAAAATAAAAAAAGGACGATTTCAGAATAATTTTTAACCAAGAACATGGCATGTTGTACTTTTTTTATTGTGAGACACTATATAGCACGAACATGGTCTTTTTTTGAAAATTTGCGTGTCGAACATGACACGTTTCTGACACGGATACGCTCGGACACGACACGTGTCCGACACGGATACGCTCGGACACGCTCTCAATATTTGGAGACACGCGGTCAACTCTTGAATATGTTCCGACACGTTTTTTCGACACACAGTCAACTTTTTTGGACACGCGGTCAACGCTCGGACACGCTCGGACGTTTTTTTTTAATTCTTTTTAATTTTATTTTTAAATCTTAATTTTATTTTGTTAACTAAATATAAAAGAAATAATTTATAAATTAATTTTTTTCAGTTATGAAATTTGACATGAAAAATTAACAAAGTACGAAAAATTATTTATATTTATATTTATGTTATGAAATTTAAATATTTGATTGGTTATATGACCTATTATGGACTCTTATATGTATTAAATATAAATTATATTATATATATTAAGAATTTTATTTAATATCAAAACGTGTCCCACGTCGAAATATGACATTTGCTAGAATTAACGTATCGGCGTGTCGTGTCGTGTCATGTCCCGTGTTCCGTGTCCGTGCATCGTAGGTGAGACATTTCCTAAATATTCCAGAATTTAGGGAGTTGAATGCGCTTTTTCATAGTTTTTATAAGGTTGAAGTTGGGCGCAGTAATTTGTACTTTTAACAATTATAATTTAATTTTCTTAATTGCTCACATATAATTGTTCTCCAGTTTAGCATTCTATACCTTGAGATATTTTATTGTACATATTAAATTGCTCACATAATTTGAGATTAAGAGTGCTGATTAGGTAAAGGTAAGTTTATACGATATTACTATCTATTTTTATTACGATTGATCACTAAATTTATCAAAAAGTAAAGTATAAATAATAATCATATTTTATGTCTTATTTTATACATTAGAAATAGGGTTTAATGTTTCTCATGTTATAGCAAATAATTTTATTTTCTATACACACATAAATTGTGTGGGGCCTGTTCTGTCCTAGAGACAGAGATGTCTAGTCAAGAGACTAGTAGATTGATCTTGGATCTAAACGCTCTCTCAGATATTTATTAACTAGATACCTTTGAGTGTAGCAGATCATCGTGCACTAACAATAACAACGTTAGCCAAATGAGTGATGTGTGTGCACAGTAAAAATATAACAATAGAGAGAATGAGTGTCCATACATATAGGCTTTATCTCTTATTTATAGGATTTATATGTGGCTAGTAGTGTTTTAAAACTCGGACCGGTCATCGAATCAGTCGAGGTACTAGGTCACTGGTTCAACCGGGTTGAACCGGATTTATTGTTCACATATTAAAAATATAAAAATATTACTTATATTAATAAAAATTCACATAAGAAAACTATCAATGAGCTTCAAAAAATAAATTGATTTTCAACGATAGCAAATATTATATACTTCTAAGCTTCTAGCTCTAGACCATATCCTAATATTGGATTAAAATTGCAATATAAGTTAAATGCACCTTTTGTGCTTAACATGATACGGATAAATTAAATCATGATAACAAATAGTATGCATGAAATATACACTAAGAAAAAAGTTTCACTGTTATCATGATAACAAATAGTATGCATGAAATATACACTAAAAAAAAAAGTGTCCACCGTTGAGATGAGATCATGAGACCATCAATGTTTATCACCACTTAACTTCATGAGATCATTATAAGATGTAACTAAATTACATAAACGAACTGCATTAATCTAAAATACCTTATTATTTTCACCTTACTTTTAATCATATTCATCATAAAATATGAATATGATTTAATTCAAGAGTTCTTATCAACAAAAAATAATTTACCAAAAAAGAAGAAGGAATAACCAGTGTAACTCGGGTCAATCGGGTCACCGGGTCGCCGGGTTTCGGCCGGGTCAACCGGTCCAATCCGGGTTGACTGCAGAAGCGGTCCAACTACCCGCTCGGACCGGGGAACCCATCGGGTTACCGAGTCCCGGGACGACCCGGCCGGTCCGAGCCGGATTTTAAAACACTGGTGTATAGTGTAATTCTGGACCTTTGGTGCCACCTCTAAAAGCTCATGTTCATGTTCATTGCTGTTGTATTAAGATTAATATCTTAAATTAATACTTTCCTTTTGTTATATTATTTTCCTTTCTATTGTCCATTGTTGGGCTTTACATATCATGAGTGTAAGAACTTGCACCGTTAATTAAGAAAATTAATTAATTAAATATGAGAATTAGGAAATAATTCCATAATTGACGCTAATAATTATTATGAGGCTTTAATAATTATGGTAAGTGAGTAAAAATACTGAAAGTCGCTTTTCTGAAGAAAAGTGCAGATACCGGTTCTGCTACCCGGTATAAATGCGTACCGATGAAGTATCTCAGAAAATTATAATAAGTGCATGAATATCTCTAGAATATTATTTAGCATTAGTAAAACAAGTTTCAAGTTAAAATAATGAGAACTGGTGCCAGAACTGATACTGGCTATGGAAAAGCGCGTACTGGAAAGGTGCTGCGAAAAATAAAATAAAAATATGATAAATTGTGTAAAAGTGAGTAGGTTCAGAATCCTAAGTTTGGGATTAAAATGCTAAGTGTAGCATTTAGCGCTAATACAGTGCGATTATGGCTTAAGTGAGCTATATAAGGAACCTTGCACATGATCCTAGGTCAGCCACCTTTCCTTATACGTGAAAAATTTTCGAGTCTTGTGTGCAGCAACCTTGCACCTTCTTCTTCCTCCATTGAGACCTCCAAGAGACCATTTTTCTTGGTTGTTTCTTCATTTAAACACCTTGGGTGAGTGAGAACTATCATGGTGAGAGTGTGGTGAGCTCTATTCTGAGTTGTGGTGCTGTTCTCTTGTGCTTGAGGTGTTGACTTCTTGGGGTGGGTTGAGGGAGCCCTTGTTATGGCATTTTGAAGTCCAAGGAGTGACTTTTGTGAAGAAAGAACTCATCTTTGTGTGCCATTTTCGTGCACCTTCAAAGTTAGAATCTTTGGAGCTGGTTGTGAGCTCCAAGAGCAGCCTTTGCTTTTGTTTTGAAGCCTTGGGTATGTTCCTTCACTTGATCTTGAGTTTTAATGCTTAAAAGATGTGTCTTGGTATGTTAAATGAAGAAAATAAATAACCAAGATGATCATTAGCTTAAATGTGTTTAAAAATGCATGCTAGGTCGTTGGGATAGATGTATCTAGGTGAAAGATAGAATTTTAAATGGATATTTTTGTGCTAGGCTGCTGTCTGTGGCCTCTGTCGTGAAATATCCGGATATGATATCCGGATATTGGGACAACAACAAACCTGTTTCGGTAAAAATTCTATATCTTGAGCTACAGAGCTCCAAATTGAGTGTCGTTTGGACCTATGTGTAGCTAACACATAGGGATATAACCTTGTAAAATTTCATAGCTATTGGATAAGTGCTTTAATCTCAGTGTTAGTTTGAAGTCGCGTCTTGGTTGCTGGAAATTCAGTTTGCAGCAGTCACTTTGCGAAAATCATAACCGGAGTTATACAACTCTGATTGAGAAATAAAATATGTCGTTGGAAAGCTTAGGATGTCTAGTTTAACATACTAAAATATCAGAATTTTTGCTAAAGATTTGAAACTGCAGTATTAAAAATGGAACCTTGGGAGTGATATCTCGCGAAATGCGAAAACTGTATTTTGTCGCGAAATATCCGGATATGATATCCGGATATTGATATCCGTATATGGGCTTGGAGATATCCGGATATGGCCCCGACATATATCCGAATATTTTGGGTTTTCGAGAACAGTAACGGTATTGTTCATACAGAACAATATTATGGGTTTGTGGACCCTAGTGTGATGAAGTTGAACTTCTGTAATAATTAACTAAGTCAGAATCTATGTGATTAAGGGCTTGTGGCTTTGTGAGAAGCCTAAAGACATGAAACGTAAGAAAAAGCATTGTCTTTATATCGTATGCTTGTTGAGTAAGGTTGTTGATATTATTATTGATCCAAAACAGATTGTGATTCTGCTGTCTTTGGGCTTTGAGCTTGTGTGGACTCTTGGCTTAGGTAGCTAGCTTGCAAGGTAAGCTTTCGTGTCCTTGGTTTAGCCATTGTTTGTTCCACCATGTCCCATTAGGGGATGGTTATACGCATGATGTGTTTTCATGTATTGTTTTGCTGAAATGCTATTGAATTGTTAAGTGCAAATGCTATATGATATGTATGTGGTGTTCCGTCTAAACAGGAAGCCATGGGGTATTCCTGTGGGCGGGTACGCATGGGCTGGTACAACATGAGCTGGTATTTATGTGGGTAATAGACGTATTCCTGCATTTCTCTGATCAGTAGAATAATTATAACACACATGACATGAATATCTGTTGCATTGCACTGATTTTGGAACTTATATTGTTTAAACTGTTTTAGAACTTATATCGCACATGTAAGTGAGCTTGGGGTGGAAGATCCTTGAGGACCCTTTGTCTTACTGAGATTTTTTTTAGAGATCTCACCCCACGTTTGGGGCACCATTTCAGGTTCAGGTAATGCGGGGGTTGAGACCTCTAGCGGCAGGAGACCGGAGCTTAGCTGATATTGCTGTTTATATGCTGATTATGATTGGATGCTGGATATGCCTATTGCTATTCTGTTATTAGCTTCTTTGATTATGTTGTTGCTGTTGAGACTTTGTTGGCTTTGTTGCCTTATTTGGTGAGCATGGGGATTGTCCATGCCGCATTGATCTGTCTATGTCTTGTTTAGATTCGAGTTGTAATAATGTATCAGAATTGTGTCCGGACTACGTGTTGTAGTTTCGTGATTTTAGATACTCACAGTTATTTATATTATGAGGTATTTCAGTTAGTTGTCTTTTGCAATTATATACAGGCAATGTTTTATGAAAATTGATTAAGTAATCAACTTGGCTAAGAATAATGACGTCATAATTGAACAGAAAAAGATATTCTGCATTTTTAATTAAGCGTGGCTTCATACGATGACATGTTAACAAACCGCATGCATACAGGGTGTTACAATAAGCCTCTTGTATAGGTCCATAAAAAGGGCCATGTGAAGAGAAGAGAAAAAAAAGATGTGAGCCCGATATACTTTTATGTATGTGTAAGAGATAAAATTACTTCCAATGAAAAATATTAACCCCCTAAAAACAATGGGGAAATTGTTTCTTATGTTGCTGAAGAACAATTTTCCATTCTTGCAGAGATACATCAAAATTATCATCTTTTAATTATTGTTTTTTGGTTTAAATTTGAAGTGGGCTCCACCAAAATTTTCTCTCTGCAGTAAAGTCGCTCATTGTGCGGCAACAAAAGAAAATGTTTACCCAAAAACAATTGAGAGGTTTTATGTATCCGAGTACTACACTCAATCAGAGAAATCTAACATGAGTACCGTTTAATTATATAATTTATTGAAATAAATTTTATGTATCATGAGAGGTGAGTTTCACGTATATGATAAAACTATGGAGACTTCAGCCCCTCCCCTCTCAAAAAAAGAGAGAGCCAAAGGTCTGTCACCTTAAAAAAAATGTAAGCAACTAAATTTACGTTTGATATATATATCTAGCTATATATTTCACAAAAAGAAAGAAAAAAGAAACCAACATTAATTACACTTAATAATATTGCACACTCATATCACAGCTTGTAATTATTTCTTTTCCTCGATCGTATCAACCCTCGTAATGTTTTTTTTTTTTAAATAAAAAGCTACTAAGCTATATATGAATTTATAATAGTTATTATATTATCACACCATTTCGATTTTATGATTCACTATTTTTCTTTGTGCAATATGATTCGCTATTTCGTGGAGTTGACATAAAATAAATTGCCCACAATTTTTTTTAAGTTAAACCTTAATTATTTATATCGATTTGTATGAACCCATTAAATTTGGGATAATTTAATAAATTGGTAAATATAATTGGTTAGAAACAATGAAACATGAATAAAAAAAAAAATTCAGAGTGCTTTGGTTGCACCCGAAGTTTAACACACTAATTATATAAACTATATATATTATCAATGAATAAAATTAACTTATACTACTATATGAATTTCTAAAATAAAAAATAATTTATTACATATGATTTATTGATACTATTTGTCAATAATGAATTAAAATTAAGTTCTTCCTCTATTATATAAATTTCAAAAAAAGAATTACGTATTTTACGACTCAAAACAACACAAAATAGTCATTCTTTTGCCATTAGCTTAAAAGATTATCTTTCAAATTAATAACAATAATACAGTTATGATTTTTTTTTACATGTATAACTATCGTTTTAAAGTATCATTATGCTTACAGGGAGTTCATCAAGTAGATCCAATTATTACGAGAGTAAAAAGAACAAATATTGAAATACTGATAGTTGAATTATGCAATAATAATTAGGATTAAAACAAAAATGCGTGACTTTCTTTTATCATAATATAAAAAAAGGAGAATTTGGTGTTATAAATTTACGGCTATGTGCAGGGTCTATAATAAACAATTTTACCTTACATTTCGCAACAGAATGAATTGCAATTATAAAATTATGGCAACAACATCAACTATGTAAAATTCAATAGACCTCATACATACGGAACTTATCTATATAAAATTATAAATCACTGTACCCTAAAAAAGAAAAAGAAGAAAGAAGAAAGAAACAGAAGAAAAAACATATCTTGGGTTAGAATTTAGTCCTAATTATATGCATCATGATAATGGTAACGTGCAATGCACTCTTAAAATTGGCTCAAAATATACTTAAATCGGTTAAAACGAATGATACTCTTACAGTAAATAATAACAATGAATATGAGCAAACAAGAGAAAGTACTAATTAAATCCCATGAACTAATCAATACTCTACCACACATGCTCCATATAAACAATACAATTCTTTTTTTTGTTAAGAAAAACATTATTATTAGTCCTACTTAAACATACAGTAATTAATCGATATTCCCCTTCCAACATTCATACTTACATAACAGCACCAAGGTCAATTAAACAACATTGTACAATATAATCACAATCTAATACATACTTACATAATATTTATGTGAATAATGCCTAATTCTTACAATTTTGCATAATTCATATAAATATTATCATGAATGCACATATCATTGATTATATGATAATATATAGCACCTCTTCGCGATCAATAATCAAACACATGATCTTGAGCTACCACCGATCTGCTGCTGCAATGTTTGTTCTTCTGATTTTCCTGAGTGTGACAAGCCAATGATAACTGGGGTGTGTCCAAAGAACAAAGCAACGTGACCCATAAGCTTGTCTTTCCTAGAAAACGTAGTGCCACAGGAGCACTGCCACTTGGGGTCCCCACAATGCTTCTCGTGAGTCCTCAAATCAGAAAGCACCGAGAACTGTTTCTGGTTGCACCTCTTGCACACGTACATTTTGGGACAATGGCTTCTCTTGTAATGATTCTTAACACAAACCATTGACTTCAAAGGTTGGAACCTGGCATGCTTTTTGTTCCACCTACACCCTTCATGAGGACATGAATATTTCTTAGGCTTCATGCTATTCAAATAGCCACTTCCCTCACCCAAACTCATCCCTTTGTTTTTCATTGGGTTACTTAAAGCTGCATTTGTTTTGTACTCATCACCATGTGCTCTCATATGCATCCTCAAATTCGCATCACGCTTAAACCCTTTCCCACAAACTTGGCAAAAATGTGTGTACCTTGCCAACAAATCCGCAGCATCCAATTCAATTATATCTGTTTCATTCTCTGAAGACAATCCTTCTCTACTATTAATGTTGGCTTCACTAGATGCAACAGATGGATCATGATCCTTAAAGTTACAATTACTATTAGTACTATTGTTGTTGTTGTTATTATTATTATTATAGCCTTCAGAAAACCAATCCAATGTTTCAGCCTCAGAATTAGAAAAGAAACTTTGCCCTCTAATATCTAGGCCTATGTTACTAACAACTCCTCTATTACTATTATTATTAGCAAAGTTTAATTGATATGGTGGTAACCTATGATCACGATGATCAATTTGGTGGTGGTGGTGGTGGTGCAATTCTTCAGTGCAAGTAGTAGTACTAGTACCTGGTGTGGAACCAAGAGCCATCATTTGTTGGCAAGTGAACCTTATTGAAGTTGCTGCAACTATGATTTCCTGAATTGTGGAATTCATGGTGGATATGGCCAGGGAAGTTGATGACTCGGGTAGGTGGTTCTGTTGATGAGGAGAGACAAGAACACCCACGAGTGTCTGCACGTGACTAAGCTTGTCTTTGAGAACAGAAAGATAGAAGAGAAGGGAACTAGAGTGTGAACCTGTTGAGCCGCCACTACTATTGTTGTTTACTTCAACAGAGGGTGAAGCCAAATATTCGGTCACAGGAATCATCTGAGGAGCCTTTGGCATCATTGTTGAATGTTGATATCTTCTTTTAAGTAAAACCTATGATCAGCACTAATGGATATGTGATTTGAAACTATAGGTTTTTTCTTCGAAGATTGATTGGCTTTGACTTTGTTGATTCATAAAAAGACAGATATATCGATCATAGACAAGGGAGATAGATAGATATATATGGTGAGAGTGTTGTTTATATGAATATAGCAGAAGCAAACAAAAGATATTGTTTGTTATCTGGGTATTACGAAACTGTATGAGAAAGAGAGAAAAATAAGTCAACTGGGATCGATGTATGACTTGAAACTCATCCCCACTTAAGACCTCCCTTGCATGAACCCAATTTTCACACATTGCAAATTTGAGATAATATATGTATATCCAGTTTCGGTCACAACTTCATTGGACTGCGCCCACCATTATATTTTTACATGTTGAATGTTATAAAAATTGGTTAAATCCTTCTGCTTGTCTCTACTCTCTATTGGTTAAAAAATAAAAGAAAGAATTAGTTTTGTCGTGTATATATAACGCTTATAATTGTCCTTTATTTTTTTAATTTTTTTTTTAAACTTTGTGTTGTCAATATACACGCCCAAGGTTTGAAATGTTCATATGGACAATATTCTTTTATCATTCATATGACAGCGTCAATGCGTTTTGTTTTTGGCTTAGAAATCTATCAAACATGATGGTGGGCATGACATAACTTGACCCCGGCATATAATGACCACATACACCCTAAACTCATGCAGCCTAACTAGGCTAGATTTTATGGGAGAGATTCTTGCGTAATCCCTACCATTAAGTCAATTAAGTATGAGATTAAAATTAATTTGATTCAGGATAAAGGTTTTTAAGCGCATTATTAAGATATCATACTTCTTTTAAGTAATTGTTTTATTAGTCAATTTTTTTTAATAATTTAATACTATATGATCAAATCATAACGTAAAAAAGTAAAATAAAAATTTAATTAGAGTTCTCAAGGCTATCTAATATAACATTGTTAAATAAAATCATTAATATATATGTTAATACTTTACTAAATGGTACCAAAACATGCCATCGAAAGACTCTATTTAGACATAGATAGATAAGTTGGACAATTGTTATGATTTGATGTTACAGATGTGATGGACAATTGGTCAAATCTAGAATGGATCGTATATGAACGGTAATTGGAGTGGGTTGCTCTTCGAGAATTTCCTCATCTAGGATCTTGGGAAAGAAGATTAAGTTGGCCCTTGCAAACAACTTGATGCAATATCTTCATTTAAGATTAAATGTATTATAATTTTGTTAAGGTTAAACATGATACTTTTGCATATTTTAAAATCTATTACAAATTGAATTAATATAAAAATTTTAATAATATTATTTTTGAAATTTTATCTATATACAAAATACAAGGATTGTTGGAGAATAATATAAACCATTAAAAAAGCTATCACCTAATACCTTAAGATTTTGGGTTGAAGTGGTTCTTTACATGGTATCAGAGCTTCCGGGACCACTAGGTTACAAGTTCGATTCTCACCACCCCCACTTTCAAGTGGAATTAAGAAAAGCACAAGGCAGACCAAAAAAATGGGCTTGTGCAGCACAAGACAGACCAACAATGGGCTTGTGCCATATCCACGCTTCGAGCCCAAAGGACTCTTGCGTGAGAGGGTGTGTTAGAGAATAAAATAAAAAGCATTAAAAAAGGCCATCACCTAACACCTTAAGGTTGTAGGTTGAAGTGATTTTTTACATGATATCAGAGCTTCGGTGACCATAAGATCACGAATTCGATCCTCACCGTCCCCCACTTTCAAGTGGAATTAAATAAACGCAAGGTAAAATAAAAAATATTAGGCATGTGCAATATCCATACTTCAAGCCCAAAGTGCTCTTGTACGAGGGGGTGTGTTAGAGAATAATATAAACCATTAAAAAGGCCATCACTTAACATCTTAGGCTTTGTTTGGGAGTTTGGAGGGGAAGGGAAGAAGGGAGATCCAAGGGGGAGGGAGGGGAAGAAAGGGGAGGAAATTGGAGGGTATCCCCTTCCCTTATTTGGGAGTCAAAAAAAAGGAATGAGAGGATATGGAGGGTCAATGAGATACTTTTACCAATTTACCCTTTTTAAGAATTAATAAAATTATTATACTTTACAAATTAAATTAAATTAAATTTAAAATTTCTAAAAAAATTATTTATCTACTTTTCACAACACCAAAAAAGATTATATTTTCGATGAAATTTCTACGTTGCAAACGATGAATCGTCGGAATACTTTTCGTCGAAAAGCGACGGAACTTTTCAACCGATGAAATTTTTTACAAAAATAATCAAAAGTTTTGATGAAAATGATTTCCTCCATCAGATGTTTTAAACGAAAAAAGAATTCTTTCAAACATTTTGACGGAAAGTTTTCCGTTCAAAATTTCGATAGAAATGTGTTCTGATGAAAATTTTGACAGAAATTGTTTTGTTAGAAATTTTGAGAGAAATGTTTCATTCAAACTTTCGACGATATTTAGATTTTGTAAAGAATTTTGACTAAATATTTTTTCCGTCAAAATTTTTTTTCAAAATATTTTTCCGTCAAAAACTTTTACGGAAATATTTTCTGTCGAAATTTTTTGACAGAAATGCGTTTCGTTGAAAATTTTGATGGAAATATTTTTTATCAAAAAACTTGACGGAAATATTTTTCGTCGAAAATTTTCGATGGAAATGTATTTCGTTAAAAATTTTGACAGAAATTTTTTTTGCCAAAAAGTTTAACAATAATATTTTCGTCGAAAACTTTCAGTGAAATTTAAATTCTGTTAAGAATTTTTTCGTCAACAATTTTCGATAGAAATGTGTTTCGTTAAAAATTTTGATGGAAATATTTTTCGTCAAAAATTTCGATGAATATGTTTTTTTTTTGAAATATTTTGGCAAAATTTAGATTGCGTAAAGAATTTTAACAAAAAAAAATTTCGTCAAATTTTTTTACAGAAATAACTTTTGTCACAATTTTTTATGGAAATATTTTTCGCAAAATTTCGATGGAAATATTTTCCGTAAAAAATTTTGACGTAATTGTTTTACGTCGAAACTTTTCGATGAAAATGTGTTTCATCAAAAGTTTGGACGAAAATTATTTCATTAAAAGTTTCGACGGAATTTAGATTCTATCAATAATTTTGACTGAATTTTTTTTCCGTACAAAATTTATGTTAGAGATTGTGGCAAAATCTGGTTCCGTCTTTAATTTTGTCTTTAGTTTTGATGGAAATTTTTTGACGTATATGATTTTCATCAAAAATTTCATCACTATTTTTTGTGAAATATTTTTCGTCAATAAATTTTGTCGGTATTTGAGACTTTTCTAATAATATCGCATTTAAAAATGATTCACAATTATGTAATTTTAACATTTTAATGCTAAGGGTAGAAAAGTAATTTTTAATATTTTTCCCCTCAAACCCTCCAAATTAGGGGAACTTTAATTTTAAGAAGAAGGAAGGTTTTGGAGGGTTTAGTAAAAATCTCCAAACTCTTCCCCTCCTTTTTTTAAACTCACAAACAAGGGAAGGGCTTTCTAAAACCCTCCCTTCCCTTTCCTTCCCCTCCTAAAACCAACTCCCAAACAAAGCCTTAAGGTTTTGGGTTGAAGTGGTTCTTTACATGGTATCAGAGCTTCAGGGAACAAGAGGTCACTAGTTCGATTCTCACCGCCCCCACTTTCAGGTGGAATTAAGAAAAACACAAGGCATACCAAAAAAATGGGCTTGTGCAGCACAAGGCAGACCAACAATGGGCTTGTGCCATATCTACGCTGCAAGTCCAAAGGGCTCTTGCGTGAGAGAGTGTGTTAGAGAATAATATAAAGTATTTAAAAGACCATCACCTATTTACAAAAAGAAAAGAAAAGACCATCACCTAATGCGTGAGGGGTGGTCTAATGCACAAGGATAAATTAAATTTTAATACTTAATTATATAGTAATGCATAGATAATAATAAAATAATGTATATAATTATTTAAAGATAAAATCATGACACGCACAAGTGTAAATATAATTTCAGGCCATCGTGAAATTCAGACATCCTGCAAAATCTCTTTAAATTTGTACTTACTAATTATTGGATCTTTATTCTTACTAAAATTTTGATAATCTCTTTGTGCTAATTTGATTTTTTCTATTAAAATTACACATAATGATGTTTTTTTTTCAGACATTAGAAAATTTGATTTTTCCAAAAATTGGTATAATATAACAAATTTAGATAAATATAGGGTTTAACATTTTTGTTTTTACTATAGATTTTTTTTTTTGCCACAGTCATATAAAAGTGGGTGGATCCTATAAAGTTTTTCTTTCTATTCTTTTCATAATGGGAGCCATTCACTTTTATGAGAGTGTGACAGAGAAAAATTTATGCTGCAAAAGTAGAAACATTTTCCCATAAATATATTACTAGTGTATTACCCGTGCGATGCACGGAGGAAAAAGATCAAAATTTTTGTCATCCGTCGTGGTTGGTTAATCGCACTGTAAACCTTATACATACAAAAAAAATTGTGTTGCTATTTTGTTCTATATTTCATGTGAAAAAAACTACGGAATTGACACAGAATATTGCAAATATCAAACACAAATAAAGGTCTGCTATTGAGAGGGATCAATTATTTTTGCATACTAAAACATCATAATACACCATAATACGTTATACTGCACAATGTTAACATGAGGAAGGGATATAAAAAGAAAAATGCATATCACTCATAGTATAATAACACCAAGCAAATATGGAGTTAAAAGATCAACACTTACCAAATATGTCATTTCCTATATGATTTTCGTTCCTTGTGCCTGCGATATAGAAGGAAAAGACTCATTAAATAAGTTACACTAATATGTTAACAGACAAAAGTAAAACTATCAGAAAAAAAGAAGAAAGATGAGGATTATTTTTTATATAGGACAAAAAAAAAATGTTGTCTAAACGGGATTTGAGGGCACCTTAAGAAAATAAGCATATATGAGTCATATTTTGTGCTTACATTGCAAAAAATGCGTCTAAACAGAATCAAATCAACTACATTAATCTTTGAAATACTTCCTTCTAGACGATGTTAAAGGTACGATTTGTAACACAACCATTATCATCAAGTATCATTATTTTCAATCCTTGTTTGCTCTTTACTCGTGAAAGTGCCACATATAATTACCCATGAGTAAAGACGGGCCTAGGGAGATAAATGCTCACATGTGAAAGAGATTGTCCTTGGCTCTTGTTGATACTCATGGCAAATGAAACAACCAGTGGGAATTGTCTTCTTTGGAAATGTATTGGAAATGAATGACTTGAAGGGCTCATCGTCATTCTAGGGATTAACACAAATTCTCCGATATTGCTTCCGGTAAGAACAGTTCCTTCAACAACACAGTTGCCCAATCTTGAAATAAGCAATCTTGTGCCGTTGCATAAACCTCTTGACTGATCAATATTTCTCAATAGCATAACTGACACATTAACCTTCAAAATTAATTTATAATCAGGAATTCCGGAACAGGAGAAAGTATTTAAAATTTCAGGTGAGAACTCGTCATCTTCAATCTGAGAATTATTATCTTGTTTCAAGACATTATCTGAACTGAAATATGTCTTTTCTTCACCCGGAATCAAAGACATTAAGAACTCATTTATCATAGCAACATCTGTCAATTTAGGAGTTAAAATTGCACGTTCTCTGAAGAATGTAGGATCCTTAATATGATCCAAGAGATTCGGGTGCACAAAATCAACCAAATCTGACAGTGGATGTTCTGATTCCTCAATTAATAATCCATCTGGAATTGTTATCATAGATTCTCCATCAATATTATCTCCAAGATCACCATCTCCTATTTTAAGGAGCCAGTCAGAAAAATCCTTTATTTCAGCATAATTTTTAATCCCATTTCCAGTAGTATGTCGCATGTTCTTAGTCAAAGTCAATAAATGACAATGGGACCAAAGATGAGAAGAATTAATTGTTGCATTGACTATTTGTTGTCTGCTGCCATGAGGAATGACTGGTAATATTTGCCGAAATTCACCTCCCAGAACAATGACTTTTCCACCAAATGGCTTATCAACACATCTACTATCAGAAAATCTAAGAATATCTCTCAGTGTTTTGTCCAGGGCCTCAAAACAAAATCGGTGTACCATTGGGGCTTCCTCCCAAATAATTAACTTTGTTTTTGCTAGCAACTCGGCAAGAGGAGAATTTCAAGTGATATTACAGGTTGAATCTTCAGTGATATGAATGGGAATACGAAATCTAGAATATGCAGTTTGTCCTCCAGGAAGCAAAAGAGAAGCAATTCCGCTAGAAGCAACATTAAGTATAATTTCACCATTTGATCTAAAAAAGCGGACAGGGTATTCCAGAAAAATGTTTTTCCTGTACCACCAAAACCGTAAAGAAAAACAAACCCCCTGCATCGGCCAAAACTGCTGAGACGATGTTTTCATAAGCATTTCTCTGCTCACCAGTCATGGAATTTTTTAGTCTTTTATGCTCTTCCATCATAGAAAATCTGTCATAAAGTAACTCATCAAGCACCAAACTATTTTGCACATGAAGTAAAGATTCACCGTTGATGGGTAATCAGAAAGGCATCTCTCATTGCTTTGCAGTACCTTATCAATTTCAGCAAGTGTTGTGTTTTTTATGGACTCTTCCGTAAGAACTGCATCTGAATCCACATCAAACAAAAAGCATAAGAAATAAACAAAGAAAATGAAAAAATACAAAAGTAAAATAAAATACAAGAGTAAAATATTATCTGAAATGTAATTACTATATTATAGTAATTATCATTAGATTAAATCTGGGGAAAAAATAATCAAAGCAACCTATCTTTTTTTTTTCATTTGGACGGAAGAATGTATACTAATGAATTGCTGAAATATACACATAACACATACCTTGACGTCCGATGCTTTTCCTATGCATATAAAGGACATCGTCAAATAGAAACTTCCAACACTTTTCCCAAACATTTTCGGGTTTGGTCATGGAGTTGGTAAATAACAATAGAGCAAACATATATCGAAGATAGGCAGCTGACCCCCATGTACTTGCCTTTGTAATTGCATTAATGTACTCATTATCGTCGTCCATTTATTGTTCGCAAATCGTCATAACTCATACAACCCTTTTGAAAAGTAAGCAGGAGCCGCAAATAGGAATCTTCTCCATTATTAGCAGAAAATTGATTTATTCTTCCAATTAAAAATCCTTTTTTTCTTGGATGCCATTCCTGTGTATCTTCTTTGTAAGCAAAATAAGTGGGATACTCAGCATAAGTAAGATCCCTTCCCTCCGAATTTTTTTTGTTTTCTTCCATCCAAGACTCGAACATTGATATTCTAGATTTCGCCCGTGTCTTTACATCAGATATCGAAGCACTGTGACTAAAAACAATGTTCTTTTGATTAGGTAGATAAAATGACAATCTCTGAACAGTGGGGTATCTCCAATGAACATCAAATCCAAAAATTCTCCAAGCTGCTTCACATGCAGAGACATACCTATAAGAAATAAGCATTGAATCTTAGAATAGGTCAAAAAATAATGATGCACAAATATTACATAAAACAATTTAATATGAATTGAAATACCTGCAATCGTAAAACATTTTAATCTCGTCATTTGTGCAAGTGCTATGGCTAAATGAATTTGAATGATGGATCGCAGCTGTCACTCGATCATTTCCCTTATGAATATATTTAAAAAGATATTTTATGGCCTTGCTTTGACAGGTATATTCAACATTAATATGAGCTTGATATTTTAAAAGAAGTTTTGCATTATACGACACAACATAACGATTATCAAGTTCAACACCATTTTTGTTGACAACTGTACAATCATTATTTCTCTTGTAATGAGGGAATTCGTCATCATCAATAAAAGTACGGGAGCAGAAGTTCTTGGGAAATTTCTTTGAACAATTTCCATCTTTCATGCAAGGAGAATTGTAATTGTCAGGATCACAGGGGCCATGCATCATGTAAGTGTTGACAGCCGAAAACAGGGATGAATGGGTATCTTTATTAGGAATCTCTGCTGAAATCAATTTATCAATATCAATTCCACTATTTGGCTTGTCAGAAGGGTGCAAGAATAGTAGGATGTGAGCATGAGGCAGTCCACGCTTTTGAAACTCAATGGTACAAACATCTGTAACATTGAAACACACAAACATGTAAAATTAGTTAAATGAATATAATTAAAAGAAAAAAATGGTGGAATACAACATACATACATGCATTAACTCTTCCAAGAAAATGTTCCTTTCTTAAATCATTAAGCAATTGATCCAATTTGAATTTGAACACTCTGCAAAGTATATCTGGACGATCTTCAGGTTTTAGATTTTTAGCATTTAGGAACCGTGAAATTTTCGGCCACTTAGGATTGCATGTAATTGTAATAAAAAGATAAGGATACCCAGCCCAACGACAAATTGCAAAAGCATCTTTACAATTTTCAGTCATATATCTAGGTCCGCCTGTGAAAGAAGAAGGTATTATGATACGCTTTCCAGTTTTGGCTGCGGCATCTTCACCTCTATTAAATGCATGAATAACATTTTGGTACAAATCAGCTTTGAGATGATCTTGGTTATGACGAATGAAGCTTAGTCGTTCATGCTCAATCATAGTGTAAGCATCTACCAAGAACTGTTGAAAAAGTCTTCTTGAGTGATGGAGAATTTGAGACTCTCCCGATCTTGTTTGAAGTCTAAATGAAAAGAATTCTCTCATGCTGATAGTGGCTCTAGGTTTTGTTCTTCCACTGGATTCAATATTGCGCTGGACATCATCACGGTAGCCATCTTCACCGTAAGGAAATGACAAAGGATATTGCATACCAAGGTATAACGGATGTTGCACATCTAAGCGCTGCAAAACTCTATTTCGGGTTTCAACAATGATGTCCCTATCACCCATTGAGCCATCTATATCTCCAACAATCAAAGCAGCAACTTCGGATGCGGATGGAAGATTATAAACTCTTCCATCACTACTACGCCTTCGAATAAGCCTCAACCTGACACCATTCAAGATGTCTTCATTATATCGGTCTCTGGCATACCGAAAAGATTGAGCAATACTGTTATGTTCATCTAACATATCCTTCAAGGATTGAATTATATTGGGATCAAGCATATCTTCTTTGTTGGTGGAACTGCAAACGTAATATTAAAAAAAATGAGTGAGCTATTATAAAATGAATAAAAATATAATACATAAACGAACAAAGAAAAAAAATTGAATGCATTATGCCTTATAGAACCCAGTCTATGATCAACTTCATTCTCAGTATCGCATATATAAAGTTGAGCAAATTTTGGAGTCTGACAGTCAGTTGGCAGAAGATTGCCCATTCGATGATGAACCTGGCCACCTACTCTAAAACAGTAAGGCCCAGACCCTTGATTTACTAATGTATCCACTTTTCCTCCAAATGAGGTGAAGGAAAGTATCATGTTATATGCTCGAATATTTCATAAAAAATGGCGACTCAAGATATTATTCTTATCATGCAGTTGAACCAACGTTTCTGGAGCAGTTTTTAACAAAGGAAGTTTGACTTTTCCATTCGCACAGCAAAGACTAAACTCTGCTGCCTGGGCTTTACGATCTTTATGAATTCTCTCTTCATACCACATCAATGCTCCACAATGCTGGCAAACAAAAGTAGGATCTCCTACATCCGAATAGTCCAAATCTATTCAAATGAAATTATCATGTTAGATAGGCAATCATTTTATATTTATACAATAATGTTCACTGATACAATAAATAAATTAAAAAGATTACCATTTAAATCATACATCTTGTTGATATTGAGAGCATTTTTAAATTTATTACAATTTTTCTTCCGACCGGTCACGGTCTTGCAACGTATTCTAGCATGTACGTTATCTACAAAAAAGGATAAAACATAAAATAGAAAATACCGTAAATTAAAAATAATAGAATTATATATGATATATCAAAAAATATTTAAATATATAATAGAATAAATGTAAGCAATTTGTTATTGAGACGAAATAGAACCTTGACATGGATTTAAATGATTAACGTCTTCTACAATTGAAGGCGAAGTATTTGAATTTTCCTGCGTATTGTCTATTTCACATAGTCTGAAAAAAATATATATATAATATATATATTAAAAACTCCCAAGTAATAATTTTTATTTTGTCGTAAAGAATAAATGAGGAAGAAAAGTTACCTGGCAACTGGGGAGGCAGACAATGGAGAAAGATCTTGTACAGAAGAATTGTTTGTGTCGTTCGATCGAGAGGATTCAAATATTCTTCTTTGATAAAAAAACCAAAAAATAAAACTGACTTATAAAAAATCCCAATGCAGGATTTCTCTATTGTTGTACATGAATGAATGAAAAAAAAGAAGCTTATGTGACCATGGGAAATTCTGACCGTTGAGAAATATGTTTTACAGAAGATTTTGCCGTAAGTTTTGATGAATGGTAATCATATGGTCTGCTTAGAAAAAAAGAGAGAATTAATTTGCCTTAAAAAAATAAAATCAAGCGATATTTTAAGAAGTCCAAAATGATCTGCTTAATAAGAAGTATTACGAAAGAATTATTACTCTTATATTCAATTTAAAAAAAATAATTGACGAAGAAAGCTTACCTGCCAGCAGTTGAGGGAGAAAATGGCGAAATATTTTTCACGGAAGGATTTGTAACACCATTTGGGGTAGAGGATTCAAATGTTGGGCTTCGATAAAAAAAATTACGACTTATAAGATTATGAAATATGATTTCTTTTTGTTGTTCTACATGAACAAAGGACAAAAAAAAACTTACGAAACAACGGGAGACGCTGACCGTGGAGAAAGATAGCCTAGGATATATAACCTAGGATATATTTAGCCTAGGATATGCTGATAATGCTTTATATGGTTTGCGTCCTTTGGTTTTCCTACTAACTTATTCGTTTTCCCATAAAAAAAATGAATGTCAAGAGGCATACGTCCTTCCAAACCACATAACAACACTGCTTTAAAAGGGATGCATTTTCCAATACATAAAAAGGCTACACAATGATTACATGTTGTATATATAGCCTAGGATATAATGATAAAGCTTTATATGGTGTGCGTCCTTTGGTTATCCCACTAACTAATTCGTTTTTACATAATAAAAAAATGAATGCCAAGAGGCATACGTCCTTCCAAAAAAACATAACAACACTGCATTTTCCAATACTGGAAAATGCTATGCAATGAATTCGTCACATTCCAAAATATTTATTAAGAAATAGACTTTAATGACTATGTGATTGGATAGATGTTGGAAAATTCCTCGTTAAGCGTCGATTGAAAGCATCACTCATTAATTAAAAGCTAAAATAATAATTACTTGGAAAGTGAAACGTCATTTGAAATATTTACTTGGAAATAAGAACAACTTTTGCATTGAATATCAGCAAGCCAAAGGTTTCTTCACATATTTCTAAATGAAATGATAATGAGATAGGTTTGATTTCTGACCATTCATTCTAGTTTGTTGCAATTTGCCAAACGTGCACTGTTTTAAAAGTGATGCATATTCCAATACAAAAAAGGCTAAGCAATGATTTCGTCACATTCCTAGTTAAGCGTCGATTGAAATTATAACTCATTAATTAAAAGCTAAAATAATTTATTTATACGATATATGTTGATATTTAATTATATTGGTTGTTCGATTTAATGACTAAGAAAGTGAAACGTCACTTTAAATATTTACTTGGAAATAAGAACAACTTATGCATTGAATATTAGCAAGCCAAAGGTTTCTTCACATTTTTCTAAATGAAATGATAATGAGATAGGTTTAATTTCTAAGCATTTCGTTCTTGTTTGTTACCATTTGCCAAACGTGCAAATAATTACGTAAAAATCATAATGGCTAAGCAATTACCAATACCCAACAGTCTAATACATAAATTAAATATTTTTTTTATAGAAGATAGGTGCATCATCATAGACATTCCTGGATAAACTGGAAATAATTACTTTAAAGAAATTACAAACGATACTATTAAAAAAACCACATAGATAAGCAAGGAAATGGAAACCTTAAACAAAGACAGTTCATTATTTATTCTTAAGATAAAAACATAAACACTTAGAGTTCATCGAATGAAGCAAGTAGAAGCTCGATTGCACGCATCCATAAATATTCATCTTCAACAATACGACTCAATTCCTTGCAAGTCAGCTGAACGTTGTAGATGTCTACGAATGTATTATAAGCCACCCTTGCAAAAATCTCCAACAATAATTCGTATGGAAGAGATTTAAGAGAACTCTCTTGGCCATTCTCATTCTTCAAAAGCTTGTCAGACGAATGATCCATTGTTAATTATTCTTGTACGTAGCATTCTAATATATATATAGTGATAGCCAAGGAATTAAGTCGACGGCATGACATTTTACTATTTATGGTTTTAGAAATTTGTAAACACTTGAATTAGGTTTGACAATAGCATATAGAACCACAATTAATAAAGGGTATGTTTCCCTATGTATCCCTCTTTCATTCATTTATGCATCCTTTTGGAAAAGATTGCTGATAAAAAGAAATGATTACTGCTTTAATCTTGATGCATTTTCCAATACAAAAAAATGGCTCTAGAATGATTACATCGCATTCCAATACATGTTTAAAAACATAGACTTGAACTTTTAACATTTTTCTATAATCCCATTGGATTCTTTACACAGTTTCAATGCCCACAATTTGAATGGATGATTAAAATTTCTTGGACTATAATTTCCTTGCAGCCATTGATTCCCACTCTGTGTAAAGATACAATCAATATGACAAATACTGAACATACGTAACAATATAAAAAATGCAAGATGACAAATCTTTATAAAAAACAACAGCTCGAATAGCTCAGACACATCACAGAAGGATGTCCCAAACTACATCAGCTCAAATAGCGAATCACACCTTTTTTTGAAGTCTATAACAACTGGCACATTGGAGTCAAAAAGAATCTTTGTTGTATATTTGGTGTTTGTTATTCCAATTTTACCTTTACAAAAAAAACACAAAATAATTAAGAGAGGAAGATGAACATGTAGAATAACAGTTTAATAAAAAAAACCTTTGAAAGACTTTATCTTCGCAAGCTGGACTACTATCATATTCTGGGAGGACTGATTATTAGCCAAGAAGTTTTGCACTTCGTCCACAAAATGTTCCCATAAAGTACACTCCAGTTTGTGACCCCTATATCGAAGAGATTGCATGAAGTAATCCGATATCAAAAGATTACACATAACAACATACAATTATTCATTACAGACATATAACATCTATTTTACACACATAAAATTAATACATGAGGTTGCCAAGTTCTAAGACAATCATTTTGGTCTTCCTACCGGAGACAACATGCTCAACAACATCCCCAACTCTTGTGAGTAAACCAACAACACCTACGGAACAAATAATGAGTAGGAACTATTAAAACATGAGGACACAATAAGAATATAATTATATGACAGACAAAATATATTACCTACTAAATAAGGAGAGTTGGGTGCTTCCTTCTCAATAAGCTCAAAATCAACAAAATCAAAACCGTCGTCAGGAATAGAAGCATCAAACGTGGATTTCACATCAGTTCTCAAGTTGAAAGACAGACGATATTCATGCCCAGTCGGCCTGAACATATCGGCGTTCAATCCAACTCCAAAATTTTTCACGAAATAAACATCTCCTTCTCGAATTTTTTTGCGGACCTGCAAAGTTCCTTTAACAGTGGCATGTATTTTTCCACCCTACAAAAGAAACAAAACAAAAAAAGACACCAAAAAAAATGAACGACAATAACCAGCGAAACTTATATCAATGGAAAACAAAAAAAAAACACCAAAACATTCGAACGACAATAGTCAGCGAAACAATTACATGTTCATCCATCAGAATCATGTCCACATTATCATCAAAATTCTTCCTGTGAAAATTGGGAACCTTCCAACACCTAATCATCCTAACTTTAATCCCCCAGTCTTCCTTGGTAGGATTTATATCCTTTATAAAATCATACTTGGAGAACATCGTGGATGTTCAAAATGCAAACGAAGAAAAGAACTACAACAAACAAATAGTCGATCAAAAACAGTGAGAACAAAAAACGCATACGCAAGAGATGAGAAACGGGAAAAGCTAGAAGATGAAGTGTCTGAATAGTTAAACGAAGAAAAGAATTACTACAAACAAATAGTCGAACAAAAATAGTGAGAACAAAAAACGCATAAGCAAAAGATGAGAAACGTGAAGAGCTAGAAGATGAAGTGTCTGATAGTTAAACAAAGAAAAGAACTACTACAAACAAATAGTCGAACAAAAATAGTGAGAACAAAAAACACAGAAGCAAGAGATGAGAAACCTGAGGAGCTAGAAGGATGAAGGGTCTGAATGGTTTGAAGGTTTTTCCAAAAAATGAGATGATGAGTTTTCCATATTAAAATTTTTAAAAACCTTTCATCTTCCAATGCAATTTTTAAAAACCTTTCATTTCCCAATACAACAATTAATGATGGTGGGTCATTAATTAAAAGAAGAAGATTTTCATTTTTTTGTACACCAAGTCATTATTACGATTTTTTTTAAGTTAATGCAAGTGTGAACACACAGCTTTGGATGAATCAGAAGAGGACACGTCAGTGTTTTGGAGAGTCTCAAAGTGTGAACACAAAAAGGGTTTGCTTTGGTTTAACTTTAGTATATATATAGATTTACTTACTATGTTTGCCACCAAAACTACACCACTACTTTATATTTATCATCCAATATATATCCCTATCCTTTACATATTCATTGAGTTTCACCATTTATTTATTTTTCTTCTCTTCCTTCAAATCTTTTTCTTGCCCAATGAGCTACGCACAAATAGTGTCAGCTACTAGTTTCAATTATGAAATTAGCTGAACAGAGGTTGCAGAAACTGATCCATCCATTAATGCACCTCTGAAATTGTTCAGTAGATAGTAAAAAGAGAAATTTTTCATAGTATAATGATGTGACTTATGCCTGTGATAGTGATATCTCACTTACTATTTATTAACCCAAGAAAGAGCTTAATTTTTATAATTTTATAATTTTTTTTAGTCTATCTTTTAAAAATTCATTTTTCTTCATCGTCTCACTACAACGCTCATTTCCTCATTCTCCACGCTCTAACTCTTTATTTTCATTTTTTTCCTTTCTGGTCTCTCTTCATATTTTCAAACTCTTCCCCACCGTCATTTGTACTCTTATTTCTTTTCCTAAATCATTCACAAACACATTTCAAACACCAAAGTGAAGCTCCATTTTAATCCCATTCACAGACACCCATTTTAGTTCATTTATTTTTGTTCGATTTCTCACACCAACATCGCGCTCCCTTCGTCAACCTCATCGATCTTCGCCGCCAAAAAGGAGACATACCTTCTCGTCAGTTTCGCGGCAACCTTGTTGAGTGTCTCTCATCGTCACTGGTTTTGGTTTGGTCCCATTCGATTTCAGGTATGGTGTTCTGAAACCCTAACTTTAATTTTCTTTGGACTCTATATGACCATCTACCACCAATTTCTCATTCTGAGTTTCCTATTCTCTCACCTATCATTCTCCATCTCATCTTCTTCCATCTCCACATCTTCTAAACCCATAACGCGGTTTTAATTTTTTATTTTTATATATTTTTTATTTTTTTTTATTTTTTTCCCTTCTTACAGATTCAAATCCCTTAATAGGTAATACCCACCGAACTTGGAAACTATATGGGTTCGCTTTTTCTACAATCGACATAGATAACTTATCTAGTGAGCCCAAAACAACGTCGTTTTGGGAAAAAAAAAAACAAGGTATTTTTGTAATTATAATTTATTTCAAGGTTATAATAGTCTTTTTCATTATAATTTTTTAATTTTTCAACTCAAAACGACGTAACGACGTCGTTTTGGGAACAAATGTAGATAACTATCTACCTTCACTTTTAGAAACGTTAAAACCAAACTATATATATATGTATATATTTAATAAAAAAAAATAAACCATTTACACGTTTGATGTAATGATGCTCTCACATTTTTTTTTCTCTTCGGCTGTATGTTATTATTGAGTTACTATGGTTATTATTTTTGAGCTGAATACATAACTGAACATTGTAATCTGTTGGGGTGGATACATTCAATGTGTACCTATTTTTGAATATAAAATTATGCTGATGTGTGTGCCTATAGTGACTTCTACCATCTGATTTTCGTTGTTGTCTACCAAATTTATTGGATAAATAAGCATAAACGGTAACTATGTAATGACTATTGAAGTGCTTGCTGAATTAATGATGTTTTATCCAATGTCAAAAGCTTATTTGGTTGAGTTAAGTGGATTAATTTACATGTTTATTTTGGCTCATTATTCTTGCACACAGGCTAATCACTGGATAATAACCAATAGGCTTCATTTAATACACATGCTCATTGATTCTGAATAAAAATTAATCTGTAATTGTTCAATTTATATGATTATTAATTTGTAATTTGTGTTCCTTATATAACATTTTCTGCCACTTTATCATTATTTTCTGATACAACTCTTGGAATTACGCTGTCATGACACTGTATTTATTTTCTTAGTAAATTTTTCCTTGCTGACATTTATGGGTACTCCTTCTTTGCTGACAAATTTACCTCCATGTTTCTTTTATTCATTGATTCATATTCCAGTGAACAATGGCACCCAATAAAAATACGAAAATTAAACATAATGCTGTAAAAGGGAAGACAGTTCAGACACAAACAACAAGAAGTACAGCAGCAGCCCAGTCTTCTTCCAACCTTCCAGTTTCATAACGAGTATGTCAACGTCTCCGGGAGCTGGATGCAGGCAGATTAAAAGTACATTATGAGAGAGGATTTGACCTGTCTGAGGAAGGAGGATATATGGAGCTGTATGTACGAGAGCATGCCATGCCATGGCAATGGGAAGTTTTCGCCAACCATCCATCTGTTAAGGTGCCCATCAAGTTAGTTCATGATTTTGTGGCCAACTTCCCAGATGAAGATTCACCACTTGTAGTTCCAGTCAGAGGAAAGCTAGTTGATATATCCCCTGCAAAAATTATTGAGGTGTATAACCTCAACAAGGGTGGGGTTTACAATTGGTACTTGAAGTTCCTTTCAGACCGAACTCAGGAGAAGGTTCACTCCATAATAGCAGAGAAGCTCACTGGAAATCCCAAGACAGAATGGGATTCTGAAAAGATGCTGACTACTGAAATGACAAAAGAAGCTCAAATTTGGGCCAAATTTGTTAGGCATCGCATCTTTCCAAAGCTTCACATGAATCACTTGTCCACTAGAGTTGGAATAGTGGTGTATTGCATTCTGCTAGGCATGTCTTTTTGCCCGGAGAGGCTCATACATCAAGAGTTGTGTGAGAACTCTAAAAGGACATCAGGGCCATTCTATTTCCCATGTTTGGTGAAACTATTGTGCCATGCTGCTGGAGTTCCTTCTTCCTCTCAAGATGGAGCATTGGTTTCAATTCCTAATTCACCAATGAATGAAATCTGCTTGAAGAGGATAGCTGAGTCTAGTCTGAGAAAGAAAAGAAAACCTTCTTCAGATCAACCTTCTCAAGGAGCAGCCAAGGGGCAGGTTTCTGAAATGAGAGATCAAATTAAAGAGTTGCAGCAATGTGTTAAGGGGATGATTCAATACATGAAAACCTCTAGACAATGCTGTATTAAATCTTACAGAGAAACATTTCCTCACGAGGAGTTTCCTGCAATTCCTTCATATCTTTTGCAACACCTTCATGATGAAGGAACTTCCAAGGCTGCAGAGCAAAATTCAGATGAGCTGGTTGATTTGGATGATACCTTTTCCGAGAGTTAAAATCTCTTGTTGGTACGCAGGTTCTTAATTTATTTATTTTAACTTATTTATTTATTTATTTATTTATTTTCAATTTATTGTTTTTTATATATATTTATGTTCTGCTGTGAGGACCCAGCTTGATTTTAAGTTTGGGGTGATTATTTGTTGTTACCAACAATTTACTGATTGGTCCATAAAAATGATAAAAATTTAAAGATTTTGAATGCTTGATTAGCTGAGTGGTAACTTGGAAATAATTTATAACCTGATGTGTTTAACATTATCACTGCTTAAGTATAATCAGATTTGATTAAATTAATTCCTAGTCAATTACGGATTTAACTTAGTTGATCAGTATTTATATAAGCTTAAAATCAATTTACATGCCATAAATTTTGTTTTTTTGTTGTGATCCCTGATTTGCTAATTCACTGATAAACCGCTGGATTAACAACCCATGTGAGGTATTTGAACCTAAACACTCTATTCATTTGTGAGTGGTCATTGTGTATTGGTGTTTTGAATACTGCACTCTGTTTGGATGACTAATATGCTATTTCTGTGTGATTAGGGCATTGTTTCTGAATGTGTAGCCTAGAGCCAAAAGCCTCACCCTTTAATTATATCCCTTGGTCCCTATATTTGAGCCTGAAACCTTTCTTTTTTGATTATGTACCCTGAAATTATAAGCCAAAATCCCTATCCACCCTATATGGCTAACTTAGTGTTTAGCTAATTCTCATTAGCTTAGAAATATAGTAAGCTAAATAAGGAAAAGGGAAATTGGTTGTGTAAAAAAAAAAAAAGAAGGGAAAGAAAAAGAAAAGAGGATCAGGAGGTACAAAAAAAATTCGAAGAAAAAGGGGAACAAGTGATGTTATAAAAGGAATTCTCTGTTTAAAAAAAAAGAGGTTGAATAAAAAGAGATCTCTGAGCTTGTTGAAGTAAAAAAGGGGGAAAGAGGCAAAAGTAAAAAAAATTTATTATGAAGGTGATCAATAAAAAAAGAGAGATGGAAGATATACAAAAAGGAGGAAAGAGTCAGTAGTTTCCCTTTGTCTTGTTTAGGCAAAAATCAGAAAAGGGTAATGAGGATTAGTTAGACACTAAGGGTTAGCTTAATTACCCAAGTGACCAGAAAAACAAAGATCCTAGCCCTGCCTCATTACAAGCCTTAAAGACCCTTTGATG